TTGCTTGGGTAGCCATGTAAACGGGGATATTCCAGGGATATGTTTTCTAGAAAAAAGGCCTTATAGAAAATAAACAATCTTAAAAAAATAGACAATCATAACTGAACAATGATCATGTGCATGTACGTTCTCAGTTTTGTTTCACTGTCACATTGGTTCCTTTCCTTCTTATTTGAGTCTCTTTTTTGTCTGTGAATCATGTAACAGGAGATGCAGCAGGAAGTGAGTGCTGCTCTTGCTCAAAGTGATCCAAACCTGGTTCTGTGCAGCGCTTTCAAACTGCGTATCACACAGAGGGATCTGGCAACCCTGCAAGAAGGCAGCTGGCTCAACGATGAGGTAGTGTCGTTTCAAAAGACTTTTATTAGGAATGCACCACATTTTGGTAACATGTCGTTTATTAGCTGATAATGGATATTTGGTCCTGCGTTCTCATTTTTCCCTCTCTATTTTTTACAATACTTTTGCCATCATCTAATTTTCTAATGTGAACAATAGTAAATTGATTAAACTACTCTGTTTAAACTAATTTGTTAAATGTCATCTTTTAGTCCTATAATCTGTCAGTGTTTTATTTTTCATTTAGGCAAAATAGTATAGAGTTTATTCAGCCACTTATCAGTTATTGGCCATAACATGAAAATAATTGTTGTGTTTGTCTGTCATGTTCATAAATCAAAATAAATCAGACCTGACCTCTAATATAACAAATAATGATGCACATAATCTGAAAGTTCTTATGAAACATTACCTTTGATTAAACATGTAACCCTGGTGTTCTCAGGTGATCAACTTCTACATGAATCTCGTGATGTCCCGCGGTGAGCAGGAAGTAGGAAGCAGGAAGGTCTACTCTTTCAGTACTTTCCTCTTTCCCAAGTTGCATGGCGGTGGACATGCTTCAGTACGGCGCTGGACTAAGGCTGTAGACCTCTTCCTATATGACATCATTCTGGTCCCTCTTCACCTGGGTGTTCACTGGTCCCTTGCTGTGAGTAATTAACCATAACTATCAAACACTAGAAACCCTTATATTAACAGTAGCAGTGTGTAGCGGCACAACTGTTTGGTGCCTGATGAATAGTTTTACAGGGCTGTTAATTAGAATATTTTATTAGCTTTCATATAATTTGTGTGTAATGTTTTCTCCTTTTTCCACGGTAGGTTGTTGACTTGAAAACAAAATCTGTACTATCTTACGACTCCATGGGTCAACGTCATGATGACATCTGCAACATGATTCTGTAAGTGATAATGTTGTGGAGCATTATACTTCACTGTTTATTTTTTAAGACAAGCTAAAATGAGAAATTTTGTGCGGATGAGGTTAAATTGTATCCATGTTAAAGTTTTTTGCTCATAGTTTGGTTTTCACAGGCGACTGTACACTTTTATATTAACCTAATGACTGCATCTGTCTATTAGGCTTTATCTGAAAGAAGAGTTCAAGGTGAAAAAGGGAAAAGATTTGGACTTGTCAAAGTGGACCTTGAGCAGTTTACGACCTTCTGTAAGCAGTTGTATTATTACATTAATTTCATTACATCCTATAAGAATTGTAAGGGTGTGTTCACACTTGGCAAGTTTGGTTTGATTAAAATGAACTGGTGCAATCGATCTGTTAGCGCAGTTCCTTTGAAAAAGAGTGGACACTGCTGTTAAAAACCTGGTAGACTTAGGGTGCTTTCACACCTGCCTCATTTAGTTTGGTTGAATCGCACTAGAGTTCGTTTTCCCCCTTGGTGCGGTTCGTTTGGGCAGGTGTGAAGGCAGCAAGAGGTGGCCTCGGTACGGTACGCTTTCAAACGAACTCTGGAACGGTTCGTTTGTGGTGAGAACGTGATCCGACCTCGAACAGAACCAACTGCCAAAGAACTGCGCATTTTTGGACTAAACCAGCTGCCGTAGTAAAACAAAATGATTATTTATATAGCCAATAGCGCTCCCTTTAAGCCATGACTGACTTACCGCGTTCTGCACTCTCACTAAAACTCTCATCGTAAACACTGAAGTGGTCCACACTGCACAGTGAATCTATTATGTATATCGCGTCTATACTTTGTTGTTTATTAGGGGATTTGCGAAAGGATAAAGCTTGTGCTGATTCTAAACATACATTGTAAATGAATTCTCCGCATGTCAGCCGGATTTTGCTCGTTCTGTTGGAATTTTCACGCACGTTAATTCTGAACAATTGAAGTGCAGTTATGGCAATATGTTCAAGACGCATCTGGCCAATGAGTAATGTGGATGTTGTCACGTGACTATATTTTGGTTCGTTTCATCAACTGATTCGGACCAGAACAATCAGTGTGGTGTGAAAACAAACCAAAACCCCTGAAAAATGCTACAAAATATCATTTTTCACACAGATGTGAAAGCACCCCTGAAAAGATGAGTCTCAGTCCGAACCAAGAGAAACAAACTACAAGTTTGCACACAGCCTAAGACTGTTAGCATGACTGAGAAAATGTATTTAACATTTTTACTTAAAATTACCAAAATTCAAAATAAATTTAATATTATTTCAGGGTAAAAGTAACAAGACCCCAGTGATCATATTTTTGAATCAATGTTGTTGTCACATCATTCCACAAGAGGGTGCAACAAATAAATGTAAACAACAGCACTGAGTTATTCTTAGCAGACAACATGTACAAGTCTGCATTCGGTTTAATGTGTTTGCCAAGCACTGTTTTTGCACTCAAATGCAACCCATATTCAAAGTTCTAATTATTGTTTGTAGGAGATCCCTCAGCAGAAGAATGGTAGTGATTGTGGTGTGTTCATATGCAAATATGCTGACTATATCTCCAGAGGACGCAGCCTCACATTCAGACAGGTACTGCTTATTTACACACCCACAATTACTCGCATATACATATGTATAATTATTGCAGAATTAGATTTACTATTTATTCTTTCTCTCTCTCTCTCTAGAATCATATGCCATATTTCAGGAAAGTTATGATCTGGGAGATCCTCAACCAAAAGCTGCTGCAGTAGGAGTGTTGGGAATGTCGTACTGACTGAATCAGATTGACCAAAGCACAGGACCATTATATGTCTGTCCCCTCCTGCTCTTTTCTAGAGACGTTTGGCTTTATATTGGCCTGTTGCAAAATTCCACCCATTTCTTCTAACAGACAGTGGATTACTGGTTCTCGGACAGTTCTGTTTGCACAAATAACCAACCCCAAACACTAGAAGCTCAAAAATATGGTTCAAGGAGCAGAACACTGGACTGGGGTGTGAATAGATTTGAGCAGGTGGAAGCCTCATTAGCAGTTGTTTTTGTGAGGCTGGAATCGTTTCATTCCAAGAATGTAGTCTTATCGCCCCCTACTGGTTATACTGTGAGCCGTTCCCAGCTCACAGAAGTAGCTGTTCATGTTCCCATGTTGGGGGGGTTGAAACAAAATGAACTTTCTCAGTAAGTTTTCAGAGTTTCTTAGCATGAGGATGTTTTAGCATTAACATATCTCTTCTTACTTTATATTTGGATTAATAAGGAATAATAGATATATTTATTTAGTTTGAATGATCTTCAGTTATGTCAGCTTAGTTATGTCAAGACTAAAAAGCAACAATCGTACCCATTAGTCTCAGAGCATCTTACTAGCAAGGTTTAATGTGCATGACGATGATGGTACTTGCACTGAAAGCAACAGTATTCAGTGGATCTGTTTTGTTTCTTTTGTGTCTCTCTACACAGTCCTGGCCTCCAAGTGCCTTGATCCGGGTGCATCTCATATTTGAAAGCCGTAAATGTTGAATATTTTGGCTTCACACCTCTTGCTGGAGCATCTGACATGCTTGTTTTTTAGTGTGTGAGGGGGGAACAGAGCTTAACACTAGTTAAAAAAAAACAGCTAGATGATGGGGAGGGGGAAATGCATTGGCCTCATTTTTCTGATTCTAAATGCTATATTTATTAATCCCAATGGCTGTATTAGACATTCTTATTGAACTGGAGCATTGAAGTTGTGCCAAACTGACATTTCTGTGGTATATTTCTGCAATATTCCTCTCTCATCCAGTAATACAGGATCAAAAAGTGCTTTAATTCTGACTTGAAGTGTAAAAGAAGAAAAAAGGTCTATATTTATTTGTCCGTATGTGGCTCTTCTGATTTAGTTTAAGTTTGAGTGCAAATCCTGAAGTGGAATTGTTTGTGAGAGTGGAGAGTTTTTCGATTGGCAGTGGGTGAGTTCTGATGCAAGCTTTAATATAGAAAATGAAAAGGCCCTACTGCATATGAACTGTTTTTGTCATTAATGCAGAGTGTTGGTACTTATTTTTGTAAGTAATAAAGAAGTGAAAAAGAAACCTGTCGTGTCATCTGTCTTAGTCAGCAAGAAAGGTCAAATTCCTGTCGCAAGAAGTCAATACAACAGCAACTCAGAAGATCTTCTCATAGTTGCTACTGTTTTATGTTTAATTGGTAAGCAAAACACCATATACAGTGAAAGAACTGTATTAATGTTTTGATTTGCAATTTAGTTGCATATGTTGAGCTAATACGGGTCATTTTTGTTCACTCTTGTTCCGCATGGATAAAAAAATTACTTGTACTTTGTTATTAAAAGATTTCTATATCAAGTAAATGCTGCTCTTTTATCCAGTTTCCACAAAATTAGTAAGCAACTGCTTTCAACATTAATAAGAAATGTTTCTTGAGCCAGATCAGTAAATTAGAATGATTTCGGAAGGATCATGTGACTGGAGTATTGATGCTGAAAATTCAGAAATCACCAGAATACATTACATTTTAAAATGTATATGAATAGAAAATCGATATTTTAATTTGTAATAAAGTTTGACAATATTATGTTTTTCCTTACATTTTTTTTATCAAATAAATGAATCCTTAGTGAGCAGAAGAGACTTTTAAAAACATTTAAAAAATCATACCAACCCCAAACTTTTCATCTATATTTATTTAGTAGTGTTAATTTGAATTTTTATTATTGTAAACAAACATGGACAGGCAGCATGAGTTTGTGGAGGCAGTCTTTTAATATGTGCTTTTGACATTCTGTGTTATACAATCAACAGTTTACATTTTTTTTTTCCATCCATGACACTATTCTAACCAGTAGGGCCACCAGTTGTCAAATAAGCACACAAATGTAACCTTGCACTATCCTTGCCCTCACTTCACACACTCTCTGGAAACAGTTCGATGGTGTAATGTTCTGTTCACAGGAGACAACTGTCAGTGATGTACTTCCTGCTCTGCCATCACGTGATCTACAGGCTAATTTATTGATAGGCCTGAATTATTTAGACGGTCCAGTGTGTTCAAAAACACAGCAGATGGTCTTCACGTGATGAAACTAATATCTCTGCCCTAGCTTTTTGCCCTTGCGTATCTCTTATCTTGCCCATTTGAATGGCATTTCAAAACTGATATAAATGAACGTAACTGACAATATGTAAACAATACAGTACATAAACATTTAGCACCAGGTTTTGTGTCTTAGATCAGTCTGTTTCCATTTGTATTATTAATATACTGTATTATGTGTTTTTTTTCTGTTTTACAATTATGAAACTAATTATTGGTCCTACTTTATCTTTAATTATTATTTAACAACTAAGATGCAACGGGTATAATGACATCTCATTCAAACAAGGAAAAAATATATAAACGATAAAACTAATCGCTTAATAAATAATCAGATTGAGGTCAAACTCTTTTGAATTTGTTGGTTTACAATCATTTGTTTGGTTACAAATCATTGGTTTACAATGTCAGTGCCACTAACACTGAGCAAAGATAATTATTGTGTTTTTTTCTGAAATAAAAGATGATGGTTTTACATCTTGTGGTCATATTGCACAAGGTCTGCTTGAAAATCAGCCTGGGAGTTCCTCCATGCCATTTCTCACCTCAAGGTTTTGTGCCAGAGGTCAAAACATGGTACAGCGTGGAGGCGGACGTATTTGTGTCCCCCTGAAGAGCATTCCAGGCAGCCATAGACAGTCTCGCGCTTCTGATGCCCCATGCCACACAGGGCGCACGGTCCTTTAGGTATGTTATGGTTGAGCAGATTTACACGGATGTGCTTCTCATCCCGCAGGTAGGCCGTGGACAGGTCAGTCATGCTGGCAGCCTTCTCGTAGTAGTCCGTCACAACATCGTCCATGTACATATCAGAGTGAGTGAGCTCTTCAAATGTCCTGTCATCTACAGCAAGCATAAACCAAGAGTCATATTTGGAACATTTCTTCAAGATTTTTTTAGTATTATTACAGACACATTTGACAACAGAAATGATATCACCTGCTCTGAACGGATTCCCATAGATGATTCCAGACAGGAATCTCCTGAGTCTTCCAAAGGAAAAGCGGCCAATGAATCCCCCGAGCTGGTCACGTATCTGTTCCCTCTCAAACCCTCCCATTGACTCTGGTGCTACACATATGTCTGACCAAAGTTTCATTAAAGGCCATTAGTTAAATAAAAAAAACAGATGGAGACTCCACTTGAATCTGAAAATCAACTCATTTCTGAAAATGTTTAAATCTAAAAAACATCTATGGTTCATATACATTATTACTCCATAGATATACACCCAAAAGTTTGGTGTTGATAAGATTTTTGAATGTTTTTGAAAGTCTCACCAAGGCTGCATTCATTTGATCAAACATACAATGTAATATTAATACTGTGAAATATTATTAATAACTGGTTTCTTTTGTAATATATTTTGAAATGTCATTTATTCCTGTGATGGCAAAGCTGAGTTACTCCAGTTTTTAGTTTTTCCTTCAGAAATCAGTGCTCGATTACATTATCAGTGTTGAAAACAGTTGTGCTGTTCTTTTTGTGAAAACTGTGATACATTTTTTTTTCAGGATTCTTCGATGAATGGGAAGTTCAAAAGAATAGCATGTATTTGAAATATAAATATTTTGTAAAATTATGTAGTGAAGCAAAAAATATGACATAGGAAAAATTACACGTTCTCTCACAAATATTTTGAACTTTGCATTCGTTCGCAAAAGGTTTGCGTTCCCTCATGTAATTTTGAGTTTGAGGCTTTGCACAAGACTTTTGTACGGAGCCCCTAAAGGGACATATGAAGCAAAAAAAATATGAAATGGAGGAAATATGATTTGTTAATGCTTTTGTGTTCCCTCGCAAAAACGTTTGTGCGCCGCCAAGAAAAGAGCTCGACGGTCGACAAGCAAACACAAAAGTTTTTCGTGGGAACGCAAAACGTTTTGCTAGCGAACACAAAGTGTCTTCTCTGGGAAATGCAAAACATTAGTGAGAGAACGCAAAAACATTGACTTATTATTTGTCCTCCAATCTCAAATTTTGTCAAATTATTTTCAAGATTTGTTATCACATTTTTCTTTTGTCAAATCAACTTAAATATTTTTTTAGTTGAGATAACTTATTATTTTGAGTTTCTCCTTGTATTAACTCACTTTTTCCAGTTCAATCAACTTAAAATTTTAAGGCAACCCGGTTACTTACTTTTTTAAGTTAAACCAACAATATTTTTTTACAGTGTATGTCCCTTTAGGGGCTTTCGTAGTTTTGTGAGCTAATGCAAAGTTTCTTGGGGGAACGCAACATTTTTGCGAAACGACGAAAATATAACGAAACAAAATATATTTTTACCTCCCATCCCATTGGCTATTTCCACCCCCATGTCCTTTTAGGGGTTTCTTATAAATGTCTTTAATAGTGTCATTTTTGATCAATTTAATAAATCCTCACTGAAAGAAATCTTATTGACCCCAAACTTATGTATGGTATAGTGTAAATAGAATGGTAGATTCAGAATTTGATTACATTGCAGTCATTTAATGCTTACCAAGACGTCCATCAAGACGCACATAAAGCTCGAGCACACTGAATGCTATGGTCGTGTGGGCCGGAATAACAATGGCTTTATCTCGCCCTTTAGGATTTCGACCGTCATCTATCTGGAACTGTGTGGGATAATAGAAAGCATCAGAGAACAGCAGATTTCAAAGCCACATATATAGTTCGGCCTGCGGGTACAATTGCATTTCTTTACCCTCATGGTCGTCCCACGCATTCCAGCGTGGACGGTGAGGGAACACTGTCGTGTGGTGCGAATGCTCTCCATGACAATGCACAGGACAGTGCGTCCATTCTCTTTGGACTGACGGATCAAGCAGTGATCAAGGTCAACTTTCCTGATAGAATAGGGGAACAGACAGAAAGAATTTTGAGAAAAAGAATGTAGAATGTATTGATTCATTTTATCTAAGTACATGAGCAAGAGTGCTACTGTATTACATATTACTGACATCACTGAAATAACTTATACATCAGTAACTTAAATTTGAGACCCAATTATGACAGTTATTTTGTCAATATTTATGAAGCCACTTAGGGACATGATGATGGAAATAATATGATATGGAGGAAAATCTATACTTCAATGCTTTTATGAGTGAAGGGCAAAGTTTCTCAGGGGAATTCAATAGGTTTGTGAGAAGAGGTAAATTTCTCAGAGGAACACAATGGTTTTGCTAAAGAAAGAAAGTTTTGTTACCAAATGTAATTTTTTTTGGAGGAATTCAAAAGTTTTGCAAGCAAACAAAATATATTTTTGTGAGCAAATGCAAAGTTTCTAGGGGAATGCAATAATTTTGCGAGAGAATGCAAAAGTTTTGTGAAAAAATGAAAAATTTTAGGAGGAATGCAAAAGTTTTGCTAATTTTTCCTCCCATTTAATATTTTTTTCCCATCACCATGTCCCACTTGGGGCTCCGTAATGTTTGCTATACCAATAAAGTTTATAATGGAGTCAAAGCAAAATCAACCTTTGCACATTATATTTGTATTTTGTTCCTGAATTAATGTAATGAAGTGAATGATTCTGACTCACTCATAATAGTTATTTGTCACACATACTGTACTTCCTTAACAATATAACCTGCTAAAACCTGCTAAGTCTAACTGTATAAAAATATATACATGTGTCCTTTACCTTGCATTGAGCTCCCTCAGTAATGTAGGAACCTCCACCTCATGTTTGGTGACAATTCCAAATGAGGCCTTTACCGCCACAGAGTCTGAACCACTCACGTTTACTCCCACCTCGTGGATCAGATGGTTGCCCAAACGCCCATTTAGGGAAACATCAGACTTGTCTTCATAGTTCAGGAGCTGATATGAGGAGACCCCTGTCAAACAGAGAGAAATACACTCCCTTGATATCACTTACAGTATGCACTTAAAGGGAAAGTTCACCAAAAAAAAAGGAAAATTATGTTATTATACTCACCGCCACCATCAAGTTGTTCCAAACCTGTATGAATTTCTTTCTTCTGCTGAACACAAGAAGATATTTTAAATTATGTCAATAACCAAACAGTTTATGGGCCCCATTGATTTCCATAGTATTTTTTTTTCCATACTATGGAAGTCAATCAACTGTTTGGTTACCCATTTAATAAAATATATATCTTCTTTTGTGTTCAGAAGAAAAAAAAATCATAGGTTTAGAACAACTTGAGGTAAATGATGACAGAATTTTCATTTTGGGTGCACTATCCCTTTAATGCAAAAGAATACCTTAATTTATAACGCATAAAATGCGAAACAATTTCAATATACAGTATATAATAACAGTTTATGCATTTTGTAAGTACAAATTACACAAATAAGCACACAAAATTCTTTATGACAGCTTAATTGAAGACATGCGATAACCAACTGTTTGTAGGTCATCAAGCTATTTCCAAATGATAAAATATTTCTTCCTCACCTGCTGTGATCTCTTTCTCTCCCACAAGTATGTCTTTCAGGGAGAAGGGGGTTGTGGCATATTTGGTCTTCTTCCAGAAATGTCGTCTCCTCTTCCTCGTCACCAAGCTGAGGGGTTGATATCGGTCCGCTTCACTTAGACTAGGCACAGGGACCAGCCGTCCAGTGTTGCCCACCTGCTTCACAAAGTTCTTCGTTGCTGCCGCAAACATGACTGTAGTTCACCTCAACTTGAGCATTTCCTTTCTTTGTATGTTCATTATTGGTCTGAATTTGACTTGGTACTGGCTGTGGAAACATCGCTAAATGAGATTGAAGAGGTGCTGCTTGGGTTTGACCAACCAGATCGTAAATAATAAAGGAGTGTAAGCTGATCAGGATGTTCTTTGCCATATGTGTAGTGTCTTATCAGGGTCAAATAAATAGACCTGACACCATCACATCTGTTAAGTACTCCTTCCAGAGACAGAGTTTATGAGTAGGCTAGGATATAATATAACCTTATAATGCTTGAAGTTGTTCATTAGGCTATTGCTTCACTTAATTTGCAAACAGAATATAATTATCGTAAATATTCTGTAATTAGCTAGTTTACATTACTTGTAATTTGAACATATAAACTTAACTTGAGGTTTAAGTTTAAACATTAGACCACACTGCATATCCGATTACCTTCTTTAGTCCTTTAGCATAATAAGTTCAAACTAGTTTTCACAGGTTATTTATGAACACTTTATTTTGCTGGCAACACTTTTCAATACATTTCTATTTGTTAACATTATGAACTTAGAAAGTAGCCTATTTAGTCATTTTAGTTTGTTTATTTCAACATTTCTAATACGTTGGCTAATTAAAATCAAAAGTTGATAACCTGATCGTATAAATTTAATGACAGTTCTAGGCCTATTTTTATTAATTAATATTAACAAAGATTACTAAATACCATAGCAGTTATATTTTGTTGTTAATTAATGTATTAGCTAATGTTAAGAAATGGGACCTTATTGTAAAGTGTTATCATTTGTTTTGTTTTGTTTCAGTTATTTCTTGTTACATAGGCCTACTGCCAGCTTCAGTGAGAGCAGTAATAAAATAGAACAGAAACAACATGTAAGAGATAAATCATAATTTTATGTTTTACCAGAATATAGCAACTTCTGCTTTGAGTTTAACTTATGTTTTGGTAAATTTACAATCTGTGACGATGTGTAATGTCCATTTTTAGGACAAGTTAAATGTTTGCAGTGATTCACAGATGCTGAAATAAACTGTGGTCAAAGACAACTAAAAGTTGTTTCTCACCTTGTGACTGAACCAATCCCTTTTCCTACACTAACAAAACATGTGGATACTTTCTACTGTGAAAGGGAATTGAACTTGTGACTCTGCATAAAGTAATTTGTTAAATTATGTCTATACTGCAGTGTCCAAGGCTCATTTGGCTAGAATGTATTTACGGAACGACTCACTCACTCATGACCTCATGTGGCTCCTCTTTATGTCCACCGATGGCTGGAGAGAATGAGGTCCGTTACTGTTGAAGGCACACTGGTAAAACATTAATGGGAAAAAAGAGCTTTTGTAAAGAGTTGTTTATAGAAGACAGTCTCTTCATGTGTACAGTAATACTTTGTGAAGCCAGCCAACAACATCCTGAGGTCACCCTGTTCCTCAGGCAATTATGACGATAAGGTGGGAGAATGTTTGCAATGGGAATAAACTTTTTCATTTAGAATTGTACAAACAACTGTAGGACATGAATTGGAGGGAAACAGTCTAACAACCTATATTTGTCTCAAAGTTAATTGCCTTCTCAGATGTAGAAAGATTTGTGCAATTAGGCAGGCCGGGTATGAATGACCAATACTGTACTGGTTTCAAAATGAAACCCCACCCACCAAAGTTTCTTTAGAGGTAACATTCTGTTAAAGAGATAATTTACCCCCAAATTTAAATTGTGTCATGTCGTTTCAAGCCCGTTCATGTCTTTGGAACACAAAAGAAGATATTTTGAAAACTGAAAAGTGCTTTTTGTCCATGCAGTTAAATTCAATGGGCTTTAAGATTGATAAACGTTATATATTTATACTTAGCCTTTTTGAAAGAAGTCTCTTCTGGCTGCATTAATCAAACATACATTAAAAACAGTGTAATATCACTACAATTTAAAACATTATATATATACTGTATTACTATTTTTAATACATTTTAAAATGCAATTTATTCAAGTGATGGCAAAGCTGAATTTTCAGCATCATCACTCCAGTCTTCAGTGTTACATGATCCTTCAGAAATCATCATTATATGCTGATTATATGCTTAAATATTGTTATTATTATCAATATTGAAAAACAGCTGTGCTGCTTAAGATGTTTGTAGAAACCTTGAACCCTGAAAGCCTTTTTGGGATTCTTTGATGAATAGAAATTTCAACAAAAAAAAAAAATTAACAGAATAATTGTCTTTAATTTCATGTAACTTTGCTGAATTACAGTATTAATACGTTTTTTTAAAGCCCAAACTCTCTGATCCCCAAACTTTTGAACGTTTTACATTTTTATAAAGCAAAAACAAAAATCTTATTTCACATTTGGGCTATACAATATTTAAATTAGATTTACATATCACATACATATTACATTCATCTCAGCTCCTTGCGTTACAAGGCGAACGACTGATAGGAATATCTCATGTTAATGAGTTGTTTTAACTCATGAATATTAATGACAGTGTTGACTAATTCATGTTTACGCTTAGCAAATGATCATCTTTAATACTTTATGCATTCAGGTGCAACATATAGGTGTTACACATTAATGCCACTATACAGAACATTTTTTTTGTGTTTCATAACTTTTTAAATGATTGCTGTTTCTTCAGTGAAAAGCACTTCATTTTACAGTTCTGTTCTGCATATACATATTTATAGCAATTACAATAACTGGGTTATAACAAGGTACTAACCCTGAACCTACCCTATATAACCTTATCACATATAGTTAACTTATATTACCAGTACTATCTTGGGTAAGTACACTGTAACATACTGTCAAACAAAGTGTGAACGTAAAGTTTTTTAAATACAAAAGTTTGTCAAGATCTACAGTGTCTAATATGAAAAAGTAGGTTAGCCATGTAGAATTTACACACCAAATGATCTAAGAAATGAAGTAAACCCCTGCACATGTCCTATAATTAAATCTATTGGTGTCTGCTGAGTGATGCTTGTGAGCTTTGTAGTGTTATGGCAGTGATACATGATGCATTCTGCTTCATGTTCTTCACAAGTGTGCATGATCTTAAAGAAAACTGGAGGCTCGAGTTATTTTTGCTCCAGCTAGATGAGAGGCTGGAGAACCACAGGGCGGGGGTGCACAGGCTGCCTGGATTTGTCATACAGGGAAAGTCTGCGCAGAGGTTGGCAGCTGCGCTCTCTCGGGTACAGTGGGCATCTTGTGGAGCGCATGTTGAAGCTGTGATTTCTTAACAGTCTACCTCCTGTGGCAGGCACAGGCAAGGCTTGTACCCCCCTGTCGTGAAAATGACCGCAATTCATCACCTCGGGATACCTGTATGGCTGGGGTTCTGTTTGGCCCAGGTGTTATTGATTACGTGCCAGGATGTTAAGACGGGTGAGTAACATGCCTCACATTTTAACCTGACCGAACAGGTGAAGATACTCTGTATATCAGTGTAAATCTGTGGACAGTGTAAGATTGCATGTTTAAAAACGGCAAAAGTCTGAACAGTTTAATAGCTTAGCAAATGATCATGTTTAATACTTTATGCAGCACATATGAGTGTCACACATTAAAGGAGTAGTTCACTTTTAAAAAACTTTTCCTGATAATTTACTCACCCCCATGTCATCCAAGATGTCCATGTCTTTCTTTTTTTCTTTTCTTTTCGACTGAAGAAAAAGGGATTTTCTCCATATAATGGACTTCAATGGGAACCAAACGGTTCAAGGTCCAAATGAGAGTTTCATTGCAGCTTCAAAGGGCTTTAAACGACACCAGACGATGAATAAGGGTTTTATCTAGCGAAACAATCGGTCATTTAAAAAATAAATAAAAAAGTTTAAGTTTTATAAGCACAAATGCTCGCCTTGCTCTGTATTGTGATGAGCGTTTGTGACTCTCCTGTTCAAACTTGTTCATCAAAATGAACAAATCTTTTTTCGAGTCATGACTCGAAGGGTCCTATAAGACCCTTATTCATCGTCTGGTGTCGTTTAAAGCTGCACTGAAACTCTCATTTGGACCTTGAACCGTTTGGTTCCCAATGAAGTCCATTATATGGAGAAAATCCTGGTATGTTTTCATCAAAAACCTTAATTTCTTTTCGACTGAAGAAAGAAAGACGTGGACATCTTGGATGACATGGGGTGAGTAAATTATCAGCAAAGGTTTTTTTTTTTAAAGTGAACTACTCCTTTAATGCCACTAAAGAACTGTGTGTTTCATAACTGTTTAAATGATTACTGTTTCTATTTTACCCTATATTTAAAAATGCAAAATGAACAGTTTTTCTTAAGGTGCTTCATTTGCTATAGATTAAATGTGAACTGGATTTCTTCCACTGTTTGTTAAATATAGTTAAACCACATTTTGTATTATTGCAGTAAAATGATGTTATTTGTTAGCGTGAAAGCACTATGATAATTTAAGAGCAAGTAAGATCCAATTGGCTATTAATGTCATACCATATAGTTTAGAAAGAATTTATTTAGAGTGACTAATTCCCTATTCAATTTCATTATGGAAAAAGAAGGCAGGGATGTCTATCATTGTGCCTAACAACTCTTTAAGTGTTCCATGGAAGTAAATGATGACAGAATTTAAATTTTTGGCAAACTATTCCTAATTCGTCCTATTAAATCTAATCAATAATAATGGATGTGGGAAACACACCACAAAGAAATGTTGTTTTATGAACATCAATAAAAAAAACGAGGTGATGAAATAGGCCTATTGGTGAAGAAAGTTAATGAAAGTTAACTTAAACAAGCAGTAAATGTAAAAAACTAAAAAAAAAAAAACAGAAAACAACCTTCAATGAATGATGTATAACAATGTTTGTGCTAAAGACCAGATAATAACGAACATTCTATTCATGTTACGGAAGGAACGCTGTTCATAACGTGTGAGTGAACTTTGCCAGAACATTCCCTGTTATCTGCACAGCTGATTTTTATCTCAATAGCATCATTTCTGGTTAATTAGCAAAATTTTGATTTCTTTTGAATTGTCCTGATATTCTGCTTTGTCAGCTCTATCGGAGCTGGAGACATAATTTCATGGCCTTGCGTGTAATGATGTGAGGTTTTTCTGGACCAAAGCAAGCCACCAATTGTGGTCAAAGTCCTTTCCAAAAGAGATGCTAGACACACCCAATCATGTGGCGAATGCGTTTGCCTAAAATCCAACTATGATATTTTCACATTCATTTAGGTTAGTCATATTTGGTTAAAATTGATCAGTATTGTTGGGTCAAGAATCGAGTCTAAAATTATATTACATTTTGCAGGGTAAATTCATGCAGTCAGACTCCAATCCTAGTTTGATGTACATCACATCGATCTAGTCTAACACTAGCCTATAAAACAACGAGTGTGACCCTCCCAGGGAAATTATCCATTATTGCGACACATAATGTTATATGAGCTGGGAGGATATTATGTCAGTCACAGCAGGGTCTGCAATACAGAAATATTGCTTGCACAAAAAAAAAAAAAGACAAATACAATGTTCATTCTATACATGAGTATACAGTAAAGACATTCCAAAGAGGATATTTTTGTTAAAAACTTCAGACAGAGGGCGTGCCTTTTCTTTTGACAGAAATAAAAGTTGCCCACAGGCTAACCTTAAGCAGAACCTATAATAGAGGCTGCTGTGGTTTCCCTAAAATAACCTATGCGCTTTTCCACTAAATTGGTACTTGCTGTCTTTTCAGAATCATGCTTTTAAAAACCCAGTTTCATAGCAGCAGGTGTCTTTCTGGTAGTAGTTTTACTGAACTAATGCCATTTACAAGACTAAAAATAATATATATTTGCTATTAAGGCCTTCAGCACATTTACATGGTCGACAGGTCCTAAAATGACCCCCGCCTAATGCATTACCAAGAACAATTTGCGCATTACAATCCTTTCAAAACTCTAAAAGCCTAACACAATACAAAACTGAATAAGACAGCAATTTGCTACATTTCTACAAAATACCATATCGAACTATATTTTGAATCGAAAAAATTAAATACTATCAAGTATAGATGTAGCCGAAAATAAAGGTGTAAGTCTTACAGTTGCATTACCATCTATACTGTACAAAAGGGGACAACTTAGAACAAAATGTGTACTGTAATGTTAATAGCCCATATAAAATATGCAGCAGTGAATTCTAAACATTAAAGACGTTTAAAGAAAATGTACAAAAGAAAACATACTGTAATTCGACCTGTTGTTGGTATTTTTAGGTCATTGTTTTATGATTGACAAAGTGTGTCTCTTGGGTGAAACATTTGCTAGTGTTATGGAAAAATGGCTTGATTTGAGACATGTATGAAGTGTTTTGGTTGTCTTACTGCTGTGTCAAGCTGAAAGTTGATGAGAACTGAATGAAGAGTTTGGGGCCCAGCAAATGTAAAATACAAAACCTGTAATAGCCTACTTTCACATAATTGTGGAGGAATCCATAATAAATGCCCTATCAGCAGTCAGAGTATTGACCACAGAACACACCCGAGTAGAAGATGCCAAATTAATTTTCCTTTATGTCTCTTTTAAACCCTCTCATGTTGTCTGTGTTGTGTTGAGCGACAGCTCCAGGCTGAGTAACTCTTCTTGATTAGATGCTGTAGCAAGACAGAAACGGTAGACAGAGTAAATGCCGGTTCTGAAGTCTGACGGCTGGCTTCTGGCGTGGTTTCCACTGCTGTAATCAAGCAATAACGTGGATGACTATCTCAAAGCCTTTAATACAGTGCGTCTAGTGCAGTGCAGACAGCTTTATGGAAGGGAAGAATTATTTTAGGAGACCTTTGTTGCCCCTACTTTCATCAAAGGCGTTTGTGACAGCTGTAATTGTTTCAGTAAAGACCCAAATTATGTCATAAAGACATTCCAAGGAATTAAGAAGACTAAGTGAAATTTCTCTGCACTTTACTTTTCAAAATAATAGACTTTGTGAGAGGCCAGTGACTTAAGAAAATATACGGGCCATAAATATATATATTTTTTTTACCAGCCATGAAACAGATTAATCCTTATTAATGTTACAAACGTAGTTCAGTCATCACAATGATTGTTCTTCTTTATCTTTTTGTCTTTGATTTACATTAAAAACACAGACAGCAGGAGGAATATTAGGCTGCTGTCACTTTAAGGGCTACTGCACAGATCCAGTACTGTTAAACATGTGTTGACTGTTTACATTAAGATAACTGACTATGTAATGTTTGGAAGCATACTTGCCAAGACGGGCATTTTTGCATAAATTAGTTTGAATGTCTGTTCAAACACAAGAAAACTTAAAGGAGTAGTTCACTTTTAAAATTTTTTTTGCCGATAATTTACTCACCCCTATGTCATCCAAGATGTCCATGTCTTTCTTTCTTCAGTCGAAAAGAAATTGAGGTTTTTGATGAAAACATTCCATCATTTTTCAAGCGTCTTATCAAGCGAAACAGTCGGTCATTTAAAAAACAAACAAAGTTTCAGCTTTATAAGCTCAAATGCTTGCCTTGCTCTGTTCTGCGTGACTCTCCAGTTCGAACTTGTTCATCAAAATGAACAAATCTTTTTGCGAGTCAATTCGTTCATTTCATTCGTTGAATGAACCGAATGACTCGAAAAAAGATTTGTTCATTTTGAGTTCGAACAGGAGAGTCATGAGGAGCATTTGAGCTTATAAAATTTGTTATTATTTTTTTAAATGGCCGATCGTTTCGCTTGATAAGACACCTATTCATCGTCTGGAATCCTCTAAAGCCCTTTCAACAGTTTTTTTAGTTTGCACTGAAACTGTCTTTTGGACCTTGAACCATTTATAAGTGCATTATATGGAGAAAAATCCTGGAATGTTTTCATCAAAAACCTTAATTTCTTTTCAACTGAAGAAAGAAAGACATGGATATCTTGGATGACATGGGGTTGAGTAAATAATCAGCAAAAGTTTTTTTTTTTTTTTTTTAAAAAGTGAACTACTCCTTTAACAGGGAGCTCAATTGAGTATTTGAGTGCTGTCTGAGACATGGATTTCTGGGCATCTGATGTTTGCACATAGAACACTTCTCACAATTTGAGTTCACTTTCTTGTCCTCTTGAGCTTGAATATTTAAATTGGCAAGGCTTAAACTTTCGTGATGATGCAGTACTGGCCTGTTAACTGTCTAGAGCACCATTTACGTTTTCCCTTAATGTTCTCAAATATGTTCCTGGCCAATTGGCGATTGACACCATTTCATTTACTCGCCAACATTCTGTGGTTGTATTGTGAAAACAGATTTTTTGTCATGTGAAGAGTTTTGTAAAAGTGACAAGTATTAAGAAACTGGTCCAAGTAATTGTTTAAAAAATAATTGTTTTGATTATATATTATTTTTAAGATTTGTATTTAGGTATGTCAACATGGTATTACTGAAATGTAACAAACTGCTGTCTTATTCAGTTTTGTATTATGTTTTGAACCACAGTTTAAAAGTTTTCAAGCTGAACAGCACAAATTGTAGGAAAGGTGTACTGTAGACCAGTCCCACAATTTGACTTTGAAAAAAAGATTCAAGATGTGGTTTTTCTTGATGGAGCATCCTCAAAAGTCTGAGAGGAAAATGGCTGAAGGTCTCAGCTGCAGACCTCAGTTACAGGGTGTGGCATTGATCACCAGCTAAATGAGGGCAAGCACAACTGGATGAGTGGTGACATTGCTAGTTCTTATCTGAGTCTAAACCGTTGTTGGCTACTTTATACTTTAACTTGTAATTATAGCATGTCCTTGTTAAGGACACATTATCTATTCTAGACCAATGGGACCAGTGCTTTATCATGAGGCTCCCTCTGAGCATGCAATGTCCAGACACTTGTTGTATGTTGATATAGACAGACACAGCATGAGTGTGCCTGCTCTGGCTCTGACAACAATATGAAATAAATGAAGAAATCAAAAATGTTATTCACTGGTACCTCCTCATCAGCACTAAGAATTGCAATGTACTATATTCATGGTGTGGCCAATCAATCTGACCGCGGTCCACGTGACAATACTCACAAGAGTTTGGGCTATCTAATAGTGCAGATTGTCCTTCAAACAATGTAGGCTAAGAAACATTCAGAGTATTTGTGATTTCTTTTTTATTTATTATATTTTTTCCCTTGCCGAGAGTAATGTTAGTGATACCATGTGACGACTGTTATTAATTGTACAAACAAACAACAACAACAACAAAGATCGTTTGTAGCACTAGTAGCTGTGGTGGGTATTGTGGTTAGCATGCTAAGTTTTTGACTGTTAGCTTCCAGTATACCACGAAGACATGTTGGGAAATCTTTGCTTGTACCACAATATTAGCAGTAATCATAACCAAAGTGGAATTTTAGGATGGAAATATCAAAATGAGAAGTAACTAATTTAATGCGAACAAAATGATTCTTAACGCTTTGACGCCATCTGCTGGCGGAGTGAATTTCTGGAGAAAAGAGCAATTCTCAGCAATATCTCACATAAACCAATATCACCACAAACAATAAGTAAATAAATTAGGCTATAATTTGGAAGCTACAATTTTGGAAGCTAAGAGTAAAATATTACCAATTTAAATAAATAGCTACATTGCGCTTTTATTATTTTTTATGTTATAATGTGATTTAATATGGTATTATAATATTTGTGTAAGATAGACTAAAAATGACTAGAAATAAAATCCTTATCCTTATGTCTGTTTTTATTTTCGTCTTTGAACAGAGGACACGAAAAATTGTAAAGACGGTGATCAGAATTATTCCGAAAATGAGATCTGGAAGCCAGAGCCGTGCAGACTTTGTGTCTGTGACAAAGGCCAGGTGATCTGTGAGGAGATCCGCTGTGAGGAGCTGAAAGGATGCGAACAGTTCACCATCCCAGATGGAGAGTGTTGTCCTGTGTGTCAAACCTTCGCCAGTGCGCATGGAAGGATCGGTGAGTCTGACGCGAAACGGCCGCTAGAGGGCAGACGTCAATTACACTCGGAAAGAAAAATGCATTTAGATGAGGAGGGAGGGAGATAGTTTATTTATCATTTATTAAGCTAGATTTATTATAATTATGTATTTGAATTAATTTAATTGTATTTTGTGTTTCGTTTGCAGAAACAATTGCGTTTAAGGTACGTGAATTTTTTTTAAATTCAGGCATGTAGATTAACAGTTGTTAGGTCTGTCTGTAATATGTTTCCCCCCCATCACAAATGAATATATTATATATTATATATATATATAATAATATAAAGTTTTGATTAGGCCTGCGTGTTTTTTTTTTCAGGGCGAAAAAGGTGAACCTGGTGACATTCCTTATGTGAGTCTATATATAAGAGTAGCTTCTGTCCATCATATGTCCATGCAATATTTGACGCCAGATGTCAATAATATGACAGATGTTAAAATTGTTATACAGTTTTACTATTTTTAATTCATGTTGTTTTTTTAGATTGTGGGAGTACCTGGGCGTCCTGGACCAATGGTGAAAAAAATAATAATACACACACACATCTCTTACCTTTTACTCCCCAAATCCTTATTCGTTGTAATGTCAATCAAAGTGATGTCCATTGTCTTGTGTGTCACACCAAACAGGGTCCCCCAGGAGCAGACGGCCGAGCAGGATATCCAGGAAGCAAAGGAAGACGAGTATGTGACATTTACCAATACCCATATAGCCATTTGTATTCTTTTATGTTGGTATTTCACCTTAGAAACATCAAATTATGCACAAAAAGTGACTTTCTCTCTTATTTCATGGAATTGCTAGTCAAAATTACTTTGAATGTAAACATATTGTAATGTAATAAATGACAGCTAAACTGTTAAAATAGTGACATGCAATGTGTTTTTGTGAAGGGTGTCTCAGGTCCACCTGGTTTTGATGGAGAGCCAGGTGTCCCTGGCATGCCAGGTGAGCCTGGTCCTGTGGGCAATTCACTGCCTGGGGTGAGTTGGTAATATTATCTGTCCTGGTTTTGTTTTCCTGTATTTCTTAAATCCTTCATCAGTGATTAGAATGATAAAATTGGTTACGTTGATCTTAATATGTAATGCACATTATTACTAATTGAAGATAAAATGTGGTAAAAAAAAGTTTTAAAAAGTATAAGAAGAAGATTATTTTTTATAATGTATAGTTATAATAATGTAAGTTGTTATAGTTATTATAATGTATGGCTCTTTTAGGTAAACCATAATCACCAAACACCAAAAATGATGCTGTATTACTAGTTTACTAGTGATTTTACTAACCATTTTAGCGACAATACAAAACACAAGCAAACCCACCAAATCCGAACTTGATCCTGTTGTTTTTCAAAAACTATCAAAATGTGTTATTTTCATACACCATTATAACATTTATTGAAAGTGGCAAGAACTTTCCTGTTCTTTATCTTTCCTATTGTGACGTATGTCTGAGTGAAACAGCTTCTCTAATGAGAAAAATGGTAGGGTGGGTCATGTTTTTTTCCATCAGGAATTGATTGGATCGTTAGATGGTTGTGGTTTCCTATTGGTTGATTTCATATGAATGACCAGTTATCCCACCGTCATGTCATCAGGTCAAGTTTGATTAAAGATCAACAAGGGCACATGCATTTTTGAAAAATAATGAGGTGCACAGATAAATAGTGCAATATTCCTTTAAAAATGAAGAATAGTCCATTTTGATTTCATGGTGACTTAAATCTGCTGATCTGTAAATCTATGGTGACATTTATGTTTTACAGAGTCACTTTGCTTCTCAAATGGCCTCTGGATTCCAGGATGGAAAGCATGGAATGGCGGGGATGGTCTCTGGAGCACCGGTAAGGATCTTTCCACTTTCATTAAGGACTTTTTTAAAATAGATATTTATCTGGATTGCCATATAGAACCACTAAACTGAGATATAACATCTTTGTTGAGATCAGGGTGAATCAGGATCAAGAGGTCAGCCAGGTCCACCTGGTCCACCAGTAAGTTCTCAAGCTTGGTGCTACAATTCATGTATTGAATGTCAATGTGTGTGTGTTTTTTTTTAATATAGTTCCCTCTGTGTCACTTAGGGGCCAACAGGAGCACAAGGTGCGCCAGGAGATGCGGGTGATCCTGGGCCAATGGTAAGACTAATGCCTTTACGCCATGATAAATATTCTGACAATTACTGGTAAATTAATACAATGTGGCTGTAGGTTTATAATATTCATCCATGCCATACAGGTCAAGAAAAACAATTGTGTCACTTACTGTGCAATAAAGATTTTTTTTCTCTATAGGGCTCTTTTGGTCCAAGGGGACCAGATGGTCCTCCAGGAAAAGCTGGTCCAGATGTGAGTAGACCAACAATTCACCCAGTGATTTTGTTATTTAAACATCATAGACAAGCAGTTTATTCAATATGTTGTCCAATCTTTAAAAAACTATAGTATAGAGTTTCCCTGTGCCTATGATAACACAGTTTTGTTCCTCTCTGTAACAGGGGGAGCCTGGACCCCCTGGAAATACAGGAGAAAAAGGATTCCCTGGCTCTCAGGTAAGACAATGCTGTATTTGATATTATATTGGACATATTATAGACATGGCTGCTGAAATGTTCCTTATGGTGTAGGATTAATGGGCTAGGACACATCATCTGGACACATCACCAAATCTGCCCTAGACAGACATCTTAGACCACTGTGATGCTTCTCACTGTTTTTTTTTTCCAGCGATTCAGGTTCAAAAAAGTACAGCTTTTAAAAATGCATGTAACAGATGCATCTAGTTGTTTGTGAATGCACAAATACAATACAACCTTTTTGAGTTTCTTCTTAGATGCACATGTTTAGATCCACTCCAGGCTTCTAAGCATTATTGGTGGGGTCACAATCAATATTGTACTTCTACATTTGAATTGCAGAGAAGGCTTTTAGCCCTCAGCCTCAACCAGGATGGGCTACCCAGCTAACAAACGTTTTGCTAGTGTTCCATTTGGTTGAGGAAAACATTATTTGTGAATGTACAATTTTTAAATGTTTTTTTTCTTGGTTATTCAAATGTAAGGAGACATTCCAGTTTTATCGTTCTTCAACATTATGGGAAAGCTACTTTAAATGTACGTAATCTGAGTAGTTACATTTAAAAAACATTAGATGAATGTTCAACTAAAACATTAAGGGAAACTTTTCATGAATGATGAATAAATGATATTTTTGTGCTAACATTATTAAAGACCCAGATAACTTTTAAACAGTCTGTTAACATTACTGGAAGAACTTTAGTTCATAACTTTGAGAAAATGTTAGCCTGGGTAATTGGACCATGTTAAGCAGCCAAACCCTGATTTTAAAGGGATAGTTCACCCAAAAATGAAAATTCTGTCAGTATTTACTCTCCCTCATGTTGTTCCAACCCCGTAAGGCCTTCGTTCATCTTCGGAACACAAATTAAGATATTTTTGATGAAATCTGAGAGCTGGATTACCCCTCCATACTAGTCCATAGGCTTCTTCAGGGATTGAAACTTGCCAGCCCCGAAAGGTTATTAAAGACATCGTTAAAATAGTCCAAGTGACTACAGTGGCTCAATCTTAAGTTTATCAAGCGACGAGAATACTTTTTGTGTGCCAAAACAAACAAAAATAACGACTTTATTTCAACTATTCATTTCCTTCTCTTTGGGCCTCTAGTCAGTTAACGTAGTGTGATAGCGTAGAGCTACGTCACAAGTAGGCTCACTATTGGCCGACGCTGGTCATGTGTGTGATGCGTGTGACGTACAACAACAGAACCGTACGCTATTATACTAGTGAACTGACTCGAGGCCCACAGAGAAGAAAATAGGAATAGTTGAAATAAAGATTGAGCCACTGTAGTCACTTGGACTATTTTAATAGTCCTATCTCTTTAAATAACTTTTCGGGGCTGGCAAGTTTCAATCCTTCAAGAAGCCTATGGGCTAGTATGGAGGAGTGATCCAGCTCTCAGATTTCATCAATAATATCTTAATTCGTGTTCCGAAGATGAACGAAGGTCTTACAGGGTTGGAACAACATGAGGGTGAGTAAATACTGACAGAATTTTCATTTTTGGGTGTACTATACCTTTAAGATTTAAACAATGTAACATTTGACAATCGTTTTTTTCCCACAATCTTCTGGTGATTTTTACAAGTCGACGTAAAATTCCACACATGTCGGGGATAGCTATTGAGTGAAAACACCTGGACTAAATTTCTAAAACATGCTCTTTCTGATTATGAGTTCCAGATGACCACAATGTCTAACAGACTCTACATAAATCAAAGGCTTTAATGACAGTGCAACTGATAATAATTACAAGATGACTCAAGCAGTACACAAGGAAGAACAAATGAATCAAAGAGTGGAATTTAAATAGTGTGGCAGACAATTACAAATTAAACACAGATGTAAACAATGACTAATTGATTCATGGGAGATGCTATTGTGCCAACTAGTGGCTGACAGACGGAATCACTTTGCTGTGCTTTATACAAATCAAAACATTTCCATAAATACTACATATTAAATGCTTAGTCACGGTGTCTCCTTACCAGTGATGATTTGTTTCATAGGGCCCCAGAGGATTTCCTGGGTTACCAGGTCAATCAGGAATAAAAGGTCCAAAGGTGGGTTAGATTGGAACTTCATTTCCAATACACTGATCACTGTTTACTCTTTGCACTAATCTTGAATTACTTTTTAATATTTATTAGTATTTAATACTATAAAATGTACAAACCAAATACATAAGTTCATGTAATGTTTTAACTGTTTTTTAGGAAAATTTCACAAACAGTGTGAAACCAATTAATCTCATTCCCATTTTAGGGTCATCCAGGTCTGCAGGGTGCGAAAGGAGAAGCAGGTGCTGTGGGGTCAAAGGTCAGAGGTCACATTTTTTTTTTGAGCCAATAAATTCATGTGAACATTTTCTTGAACCTGTGTCCCTGTAGTTTGACTGTGTTAGTAAATGCCATTTTCTTTTCATTGTAAAAGGGAGAATCTGGGTCTCCTGGCACCATGGGACTTATGGGTCCACCGGTATGGAGCAGTTCTGATTGTGATGTTTCATTTAAACTGCACTTTATTGGATTTTTCTAAACTGCACTTTTATGGTCTAATATTGTTCTTCACAGGGTCAGATTGGTATGACCGGTGAGAGAGGACGCATCGGTCCAGGAGGTCCTGTGGTAAGTGAACCATTAAAGGGATAGTGGACCCAAAAATTCTGCCATCATTTACTCACCCTCAAGTTGTTTCAAATCTGTATGAATTTCTTTCTTCTGCTGAACATAAAAGAAGATATTTGATGAATATGGGTAACCAAACAGCTTATGGGCCCCATTGACGTCCATAGTATGGAAAAAAAAATTCTTAATATCTTTTTTTGTGTTCAGGAGAAGGAAATTCATACAGGTTTTTCATGTTTTATAAATTTGGACTTGGAGGAGAGAGTTTAATACAATAGTTTGCTTTAATTTGCTTTTCATATTTTTCTGTTTGTAGGGAAAACGTGGTCTTTCTGGACATGTGGGGAAACCAGGTCCATTGGTATGTGCAAGTGTTTTTTTTTCTTTTTGTATTATTTAAATACTATTATAGTATTTATCAATAATTAATTTTTTAATTTTTAATTTTACTGTCACATTAACTTTAACATTAATTTTAGATTAATTTTAGGATGTGTTACGATTTTGCCATTTAAAAATATATATATTTAATATTTTGTAATCTTAGTAGCCTACTTTTTATTTATTTAAAAAAAACACCTTTTTTTAGGTTTACGTTTTCATTTATATATAACAACAACTCTGATATGTGCATGACAGTCCCTCTTCTATTAGTTCACATGTGTCTACCCAATCAACATACCTTCAAGACATGCCTTTACTGTATCTTCAAAGATGTGGAGTATGTTCTATTAAAGACTGATGTGTTATCTAACCTGACACTAATTTAATTTACAGGGCCCTATGGGAATTACTGGAACCCCAGGATTCCCTGGTGGTCCAGGCATGAAGGTGCGTCTGACTGATGGTTATAGTTAGAACTGTTGATCTGCTGCACCTTAAAAATTTACATTATCATAGTTTTTATTTATAAACCATTGTTTATGGCAGGTATAGAAAAATGTTAATATTAAAAATTGTACAGGGTCAGCCAGGAGCCACAGGCCCACGCGGTACCAGTGGACCTCAAGGCCAAAGGGGAGAACCAGGCCTGCAGGGCTCAGCAGGACCACAGGGCAACCAGGTGCAGTCTTACACATCCTACGTTCTACTTTCTAATAATTTATGTATTTAATTATTTCCATAATGTTGATGTCATTTCTAGGGACCACCAGGAACAGATGGTACTCCTGGACCTAGAGGACAAGCAGTAAGCTCCATAAACACTCATAAAAAATACTACAATTTGAGCTTATTATAATGCAGAATAATCATGCTTTACCATTTGTGCTACAGACAGTATTGCAATAATCATCTGTTCATCATAGGGGATCCCAGGTGTGCAGGGCCCCGTTGGACTGATTGGACAGCCTGGTCAACCTGGACCTCAAGGATCAACTGGACTTTCAGGAGCCAAGGGCCAGCTGGTAATGACACAATGCAAATTGCAATATTATATCCACCATAGTGGGAATCACTTTTCTCCTGTGTTTATATTTAAGCTGAATACGTTGATCATTTATATATTTCATGTACCTCATAGGGGGATTTAGGTTCACCTGGGTTTAAAGGAGAACCTGGAACTAAAGGGGAGCCTGTAAGTATTGACAATACTCAGGGCATTGCCTTGGATGCATCACTGTTATTGTTGCTCATAATTGTTTGAAATAATGTCGTCAGAACATACATCCAATGATATATATGGTATATCTTTTGTTGTAGGGCCCACTTGGAGTTCAAGGAGAAAGGGGACCGATGGGAGAAGAAGGAAAACGAGGTCCAAGAGGAGACTCAGGGGCCCTTGGACCCCCAGGTTCTCCTGGAGAAAGGGTTAGTGCCATTACATTATTGTGAACAACCAACATGCAAGCCTTCATATTCATAGTGATTATTGCAGTGACTGCTTTACATCTTTTTTCTTTACAATAATATTTAATGTTTTATTTTTTTCAAGGGAGCTCCAGGTAACCGTGGCTTTCCAGGAGCTGATGGTTTGCCTGGTCAAAAGGTTAGAAATATAATAAATGGATCTCAGCCAATAAGATTTCAAAGACTGCTAACAATGCTAACATCATCACCACTCATTTATTTTCTCAATTTAATACAATTCTGTACTAAATTATGTACTCTTTCTAATCCCCCCAGGGTGCACAGGGTGAACGTGGTGTCCCAGGCTCATCAGGGCCTAAGGGTGCAACTGGAGACCCTGGCCGACTTGGGGAAACAGGAATTCCGGGAGCAAGGGTTGGTAAAATAGATATGACCTGTATTGGCATACTGTAATATACTCATTTTATAACATTATGTATCACACCCTGTATGCTATGCAATTATAAATAAACTCTTAATTTGCTAAAAAAGGATCTCTGATGGTATTGCGTCCACTTCATGTAAGGTGTTCACATATTTGATGTCATGTCTCTCTAGGGTTTAACAGGCGTTTTGGGAATGCAAGGTGCAGAGGGGAAGATAGGGCCACAGGTAATATATGCACTTTTTACCTAAAATAATCTTAACAAAACCTACAAACTTTCAGGTCGATTTTTAAACTCTGACATTAACGGTTTTCAAAATTACATATGTAAATAATTACTCATAAATCTGGAATTAGCCTTCTGGATTAGCCTATTATTATGGCTGAAAAGATCTAAACAACTCTGTATTCAAAATAACACTTCTGTGAGGTCTGAAGAGTGGTGTCATTTTTCCTTAGGGAGGACCAGGAGATGATGGGAATCCAGGTTCGGCCGGGTCTACGGGAACAAGAGGTGCAGCAGGACCCATGGGTCTACCTGGACCTAAAGGCTTCAGTGTAATTCTCTAATATATATTTATTTATAGAAGCCATAAGATTAAATTCTTAATTTTACTGACATGTGTCATTTTGTCTATAAAATGTATCTCATAACACCTGTGAGCAAAAAGTACATAAGGGTGATTTTTCTAGGGGGACTTTTCTGTCCCCCAGATTTACTAATTTTTAATATTTAGAACAACAATATAAAAAAAAACAAAAAAACCCCAAAAAAACATCACTCTAAATTCAAATGATAGATTATAACAGTTTACAAAGTGTTAAAATGTTACATTTTCAGATTGTCTCTCCTATCTTGACATTCTAACATAGAAGTGTTAAACTCATATTTGCTAAGAAATTAGATTTGTAATTAATTTGGTATTTATGTGTACAGTTAGCTCTTCTTCTCTAAGTCCAAGCTTTCAGCTTTTTTTTTTCAGCTTTCAAAAAAAAAAAAAAAGTAATTTCCATCACATACATTTACTGTCCATTTGAAGGATGACGAAGGCTATTGATCAGATCTCCAGGATGTAATAAATGTTTTAATATAGATTAAGCATTATTTGAAGACTTTTCAGTACACAAACATGCCTCTAATGGACAAATTACCCATTAATATTGTAGTAAACATGTTAAAAATGTTTACTAAAAAAAGAATAGAGAGTCGATGATACTGATTTTTTTTGTTATAAATGTTCATGTGATGATTTCCCCTTTCCTTCTGGTTTTTCTGAATATTCAGGGTGACCCAGGGAAAGCAGGAGAGACAGGGTCACCAGGAGGTGCAGGACAAAGAGTGAGTCCTGGCTTACAATTATAGTGGAACATAGCTTAAAACATGCTGTAACATTTCAAAAAAAGCTATTAGAAAAGACTTCTAGTGTAAAGACCGTCAGTGCTGGTATTGTATAGCATAGTGATTTAAGAGTCAAGTGAACCATTATGATTTGATATGATGGCTATGATTCCTGCAGGGACCTAATGGAAAAGATGGAGAAGAAGGTCCAGCGGGAACTCCAGGACCTCCCGTGAGTCTTCATTAGTAATTTATGGCACATTTATGTCTATTAAAATTTTTGTGTATTTTGATTGGTCGACGGCTATTTCAGGTATCTCAAGTAATATGTCTGTTGTAGTAAAATATTAAGAAGTGGAGCTCATAGCATATAGCTGAGTATATTTGATTTATTTTCAGGGAGTAGCAGGGAAGAGAGGTGAACAGGGACCTCCTGGACTAACTGGCTTTCAAGTATGTTCTTTTTTCTTTGGTTATCCATTCAGTCAGAGATTACTTTGAATGTTCAGTGTTCAATTGCTGTTAAATGGGTCATATCATAAGAAATTGTCCTTGATCTTTTCAAGCTGCAAAACCCAAGTTTTAAAACTCAAAACTGCCTCCTAGTCCAAAAAGACAATCTATTAAAATCAAGCAAAACCAGTGATTTCCGAATCCTAGGATTTCTGCCCACATTAACAATGGCATTTATTCACTTGGTGCTCAGAAATTTTGCCTGGGCAGTTAAGTTCATTCAAGGACATAGAACATAAAAATGTTGCTAAAATGTGGGGTACTGTAATCTGTCAAACCTTGTGCTGTGTGTACCACATAAATCATTTGGGTATAAACCTGACTAACAATATACATGGACCTCGAAGACAAAAATAAAATAAGATAAAAACATACACTGACCTAAAGGATTATGCAATTATCTAATCAACCAATCACATTGCAGTTGCTTCAATGCATTTAGGGGTGTGGTCCTGGTCAAGACAATCTTCTGAACTCCAAACTGAATGTCAGAATGGGACAGAAAGGTTATTTAAGCAATTTTGAGCGTGGCATGGGGCCAGTCTGAGTATTTCACAATCTGCTCAGTTACTAGGATATTCACGCACAACCATTTCTAGGGTTTACAAAGAATGGTGTGAAAAGGGAAAAACATCCAGTATGCGGCAGTCCTGTGGGCGAAAATGCCTTGTTGATGCTAGAGGTCAGAGGAGAATGGGCCGACTGATTCAAGCTGATAGAAAGAGCAACTTTGACTGAAATAACCAGTCGTTACAACCGAGGTATGCAGCAAAGCATTTGTGAAGCCACAACATGGACAACCTTGAGCCGGGTACCACTCATCTCCTCTACAAATTGGAAAAAGAGGCTACAATTTGCAGGAGCTCACCAAAATTGGACAGAATTGGAAAAATCAGTCTCGAATTCTGTTGAGACATTCAGATGGAAGAGTCAGAATTTGGCGTAAACAGAATGAGATCCATCATGCCTTGTTACCACTGTGCATGTTTTTCTCTTTTAGAGTTAAATCTATTGTCTAATATAAATCTAAATGTCTAGGGTTTGCCTGGACCCCCAGGCCCACCAGGAGAGTCGGGAAAACCAGGCGATGAGGTAGGTTGATAATTTCTGTGTGCTCTTTACTTGGTCATTATATTCCAGTCTTTACTTTTTGTCATTTCTGCTGGACAGGTAGAACACAAACAGATTGAGAATGGGAATTATTAAAGAACTCTATGGCTATGATTTTTTCCCCCCTCAGGGTATCCACGGAGAGGCTGGTGGTGCAGGGCAGACTGGTCCAAGGGTGAGCCTGTTGCACTTGCGCTAGCGTTTATCAGTGCACATAAGAAATATCCCAGTGTTTGTATCCGTCATTTTCGTAGGGTGAACGTGGAACCCCTGGAGAGAGAGGTGATCCAGGGCCTAATGGGTTACCAGGAGCCAAAGGAAGCCTAGGAACCCCTGGGCCTGATGGTCCCAAGGTTAGAGACAGATTTTTACTCACTAATAATTTTAAAGAATGCTGCATGGTGCAATGCATCCATTTAGTTTCTAAAAGATGATAGATTTCAACATTATCAATATGACAATAATAATGGCTGTGCAGGGTAAACCAGGTCCAACTGGAACTGTTGGAGAACCAGGATCACCAGGCTTACAGGGCATGCCAGGAGAAAGAGGGATAACTGGACCAGCTGGGCCTAAAGGAGAAAGTGTGAGTGTGGAATCAGAGGATTTGGCACATGTTAAACATGTGCACATGCATAACAAATGCAGTATTTTTTAGTTTCATGCTTTGCATTCAGTGGAACAATATTGCATTATGTGGGTCAGGCTCTGTTTGGAATGACGGCTGACAAATAGATGACTCTCTAATATCCTTTGGCAGGAAATTAATATTCTCTGATATTATCTGTGAAACATTATCTGTGTGGCGATGTGAAGTAGTGAAGAAAATCACATCTGTAACACATCAATACTGAGTTTTCTCTATTTTTCTTATTGATTTACCTAAAACCTTGTGTTTTAATACTCTTTATCTGTTTTCTCAGGGCGCAGTGGGTAACCGAGGGGCTGAAGGGGCGGCTGGCAATGATGGGGCTCGGGTGAGTGATCTGTAATACAGGATGAACTGAACCTACCAGTCAATAACTCTGAATTAAAAATATCCCGATTTCACATTTCTGGCCCATTTCTTACCACAACAGGGGTTAAAAAGATACTAAATAAATGTCTTTTATGTCTTTAGGGATTACCCGGACTTGTTGGACCTACTGGACCAGCCGGTCCATCTGGGGAAAGGTTTGATTTCAAAATTCCAAAAATAAATCAATTAATTAATTAAAGGGATATTTCACCTAAAAATCTGTCTTATTTACTCACCCTCAAGTTATTCCAGATCTGTAAGAATTTCAATATCTTCTTTTGTGTTCAGTAGGAGAAAGAAATTCATATGGATTTGGAATAACTTGAGGGTTAGTAAACAAATGACAGAATTTTCATTTTTGGGTGAACTTTTCTTTTAAACTAAAAGTGGTGAATTGATCCTGTCTGCACTACCTCGTAGTGCTTTTCTCTGCAATGCTGAAACTTTGAAGTTCTTCTGTCCTTTAGAAGTACTAATTAAAAAGTACATTTTACATATGTTGCTACTTAGATGTACTCAGAACTTATTGTTCAATTACAGGGAGAACAGGGCCCAAGAGGCCCTTCTGGATCTCCAGGCGCCAGAGCAATGGCTGTGAGTAGAGCAGTTTACCAAGAGAAAAACAATGTTTGCTGACGTTCTTTACTCATGTGATTCACAATTCCACTGATGTATTGTGTTTCAGGGCTCACCTGGAGAACCAGGTCCTACTGGACCTGTTGGGTTTGCTGGGCCTCCCGTAAGTCAGTCCATCCATCCATCCATCCATCCATCCATCCATATAATAAAATAATATGCCATAACATCCATCATAAAACATCCATCCATCCATCCTAAAACATAATGATATAGTATGCCATAACATCCATCATAAAACATCCATACATCCATCCATCCAAAAACATAATCATATAAAATGCCATAACATCCATCATAAAACATCCATCCATCCACATGATGATATAATATGCCATAACATCCATCATAAAACATCCATCCATCCACATAATGATATAATATGCCATAACATCCATCATAAAACATCCATCCATCCATCCAAAACATAATGATATAATATGCCATAAAATCCATCATAAAACATCCATCCATCCATCCATCCATCCACATAATGATATAATATGCCATAACATCCATCATAAACATCCATCCTAAAACATAATGATATAATATGCCATAACATCCATCATAAAACATCCATCCATCCATCCATCCATCCATCCATCCACATAATGATATAATATGCCATAACATCCATCATAAAACATCCATCCATCCTAAACATAATGATAGAATATGCCATAACATCCATCATAAAACATCCATCCATCCATCCATCCTAAAACATAATGATATAATATGCCATAACATCCATCATAAAACATCCATCCATCCATCCATCCATCCATCCATCCACATAATGATATAATATGCCATAACATCCATCATAAAACATCCATCCATCCTAAACATAATGATATAATATGCCATAACATCCATCATAAAACATCCATCCATCCATCCATCCTAAAACATAATGATATAATATTCCATAACATCCATCATAAAACATCCATCCATCCATTTTAAAACATAATGATATAATATGCCATAACATCCATCATAAAATATCCATCCATCCATTTTAAAACATAATGATATAATATGCCAAAACATCCATCATAAAACATCCATCCATCCATTTTAAAACATAATGATATAATATGCCATAACATCCAGCATAAAACATAATGATATAATATGCCATAAGCTGTAAACATATGTTTTTGTGCTAGGGTCCTGATGGTCAGCCTGGAGTTAAAGGTGAAACTGGAGAGGAAGGTGCAAAAGGAGAGGCAGGGTCTCCAGGGCCTCGGGGAATGGCAGGAAAACCTGGACCACAGGTGAGCAATATATATATATGCATATGTGTATGGATTGAGAGACTAAAAAACATGTATAAATATAATACTTCTTTTAGGGAGTGACTGGAATTACAGGCCTTAAAGGTGGAAGAGGTACTCAAGGAGCAGCTGTAAGTTACAAAAATCATGCTCATTGAATCAAAATCATTGTTTATCAACTTAGAAATACCCAGAAATGCTCTTATTATTTGCTGAATCCTTTTGCTGCTTTTCTTTATCTCTTTTGTGGAATCCTCTTTGGCTTCCTCCTTTTGCTAAAAGGGTCCCAGTGGTTTCCCAGGATCCCCAGGAGGTGTCGGCCCAGCAGGCTCTGCTGTGAGTTACAATCCCTAATACGGATTTAACTTAAAATCTTGTCCTTCAAATAATATTTGCAATGTGTTTGATTATTTTTAACCAATATATTAAGACACTTGGTGTCCCATGTCACATATGGACTGATATATTTTTATATTATACTGATATATTCCTCAGGGTGCAGTTGGCGAGCCTGGTCCTATCGGAGCCCCTGGTAAAGAGGGCCCACCTGGGCTTGTGGGAGAACCTGGAGGTACTGGTCTCCAGGGGGAGCGTGGAAACCCTGGACCTGCTGGTAACCCTGGAGACAAAGGGGAACCAGGAGAGGACGGACTGCCAGTATGTGATTCCTTTTCACTATATAAAACTGAAAAATAAACCCTATAAGCCCTATAGCTTTTCACACTGCGCTTAAAGGTTCTATATGTAACTTTTTTTAATAAAATGAATCCTTTTTTTATTGCCTGTGTTTGAAGGGGTTGTAATCACACATTGCAATGATCCACTTTTCGGGTTTTGCTATTACCTCTGAAGGCCAATATTCATATTTATAAGTGAGGTCTCCAGGTCGGATTTCCTGCGAAATCCATCAGATGTGACGTGCATGTGCGCTCCCGAGCCTCTCTATCCAGTCAACCATGTCTCTATCCAGTCTCTATACAATCAACCATGCGACCAACGGCACTTCAGCTGACGACATGGAGTCTGATAACAGCTCAAAACGTCCCAAAAGTTAATATTGTGTATTCCACACAACTCAAATTCTTCTTTAACTTTCTTAGGGCCCAGATGGGCCAGCAGGACCTGCCGGAACTCCAGGACAGAGGGGACTTGTGGGTCTTCCTGGAATGAGAGGAGAGCGTGGTATGGCTGGCCTTCCTGGACCTGGGGTAAGTCATCACTTCTATCCTCTTGTCATGCAAGTGAATATATAAAAACGTGTCTTTTTAGAAGTACATTTCCCAGTTTTTTTTTTTTTTTGGATGATTTTTCACCTCATCTACTATCTGTTTGGTTTTTTCAAGGGTACACCAGGAAAAGCTGGGACCCCAGGTTCCCAAGGAACCAAAGGTGGTGCTGGACCTGTTGGTTTGCCAGGAGCACCCGGACCCAGAGGAGATGCTGGTTCAGAGGTACGAGATGAAGAAACACAGTGGAGACGGTTGGTTACATGTCTACAAAGAATTCTTAATGACTTCCTTCTTAAATTAGGGTTTGGCTGGAGCTGATGGAATTCAAGGAGCTGATGGCATCATTGGAGCCAGAGTAGGAACCCATTCATCGTTTGACATAAAAAAAATTATAATCAAATATGTCCAACTTCACATGATGTGTTAATTTGCTTTTAGGGTGAAAGGGGAGACCCAGGCCCAGAGGGTCTTGCAGGTGGCCAGGGAACCCCAGGACCTCCAGGACCGGTCGGAACTCCTGGAGGTCCAGGACAGAGAGGAGATCAGGTTTGTTTCCTGTATCCATTAATGATAGTTCAAAGAAGATTTAATGCATTTATTGGTCCCACTTTATATTAGGTTTCTTAAACTACTATGTACTAAAATTTAAATTAATCATTAGATGCAATGCACTTATTGTGTATGTATATATATATATATATATATATATATGTGTGTGTTTACATTGCACTTTCCTCTTAACCCAATCTTGAACCTAACCATACCACTAAACCTGTCCATAACCTTACCCGTATCCCACTGCAATGGCAGCAAATGTGTTTTTCAACACAACATGAACACAATAAGTACCTTGTACTTATTTTTTACATAGTTGCCAAAGATAAAAGTGTGACCCATTTATATTCATTAAAAGCATGTAGACTGACATTATTTTATAAGGATACTCCACACAAAACTGAAAATTATGTGCTCACCCTCAAGTCTTTCTTATGCAGAACACAAATGAAGATATTTTGAAGAACGACTGGAACCAAACAGTTGTTTGGCACCATTAACTTCCATAGTAGAACAATAAATTACTATGGAAGTCAATGGTGCCAGAGGTTCAATCGTTCTTCAAAATATCTTCCTTTGTGTTCAGCAGAAGAAAGAAACTCATACAGGTTTGGAACAACTTGAGCGTGAGTAAATGATGACAGAATTTTCATTTTTGGGTGGAGTATGCCTTTAAAAAAATAATCTTTGCATAATGTAGAATGAAGAATGAAGAAATGTCTTTAATCTTGTAGCCTTTTTTTATAGATATGCTTTTTCATTTGTTGATTTTGCTGACAGGGTGCAAGAGGCCCACCTGGTCCTGATGGTCAGGCTGGAATTAGAGGGAAAAAAGTAGGTCCTTCTTTTCACATATTGGTACACAACTTCAGTAGCATTATATTCAGTATATATATATATACAGAAACAGAAAACTTGGAAATAAAAGAATAGTTTTTAAGGGAAAAGAATAAATATGATTTTTTGATTTTAATTCAATGTATAAATAATATTATTAATATATTCAAATGTTACTATTTAGAATTAATAATAAAATATTAATTTGTCAAAAGTCATGCTTTGGCCCTCTTGTGAATTCCAGCCCTTCTTGTTGTAGAAATACCTTTGCAATACTCAATTCTGATTAGTCTATTTGTGGCCAATTATTTATTTATATTAATTTAATAATATATTTTTCTCCCATTTTCCTGTGCAAGCCATTTTCTACATAGATGCATCATGCATTTTAATGAGATTTCATGTCTTTTATGTCACTCCACAGTCTCTTTCTTCACATGTATTCAAATAATTTAAACCTCAGTCAACATATTATTTTTAATTAATTTTTTTAAATAAGTTATTGCCAAACATACGTGACCCTTCTGCATTGGGGTCCTGTTTTTTTTTTGTTTTTTTTTTGCGATAATGTCCTGTGAATAATGATAATAAACAGCTAACTATACATTATCCTTTTCATATATTAAATACAATTTAATAATAGCAAAATAGACATGAACACTTCAGACAATAAAAAAGGAGAACCTCTTGCTGCATTCACGTCATGTTGTAATTACCGTAGTTTCGAGATGACAACATGTGATGTTGTTATATGTGAACAACCCACAGCAAAAATATCTTCTAATCAACATTAGGGACCACAAGGACCGATGGGAGACACGGGTGACAAAGGAGAAGCAGGTGAGAGAGGTCAGAAGGGCCATCGTGGCTTCACTGGACTCCATGGGCTACCTGGAACATCAGTACGTATAATTGACAATATGTCACCTGTCACACAATACAATATCCATACCTTAATATTTATCTGTCAATCATTTCCTTTCAGGGTGCTCCAGGGGATGATGGTGCTGTAGGAATCATTGGACCAAGTGGGCAAAGAGTGAGCAACAGATTGAAATGTCACTCAAGATTGATTTCACAAAGCACCAGCAATACATGTCCATGTTGAAGATAATTTAATTTGAAATGTGTCAATGTTAGGGAAACCCTGGCCCTGTCGGACCACCAGGAAAAGAAGGAGATGTCGGTCAACCTGGAGCACTGGGGGCTCCTGGATCTCGAGGTGACCCAGGAGAATTTGGACCAGAGGTGAGGCATGATATCATGTGTATATCATGTGGATGTTTGTTAGATGAGATCTTCCTATTGATACAAAAACAACTTAAACCAGCCTAAGGAAGTTTGCTGGTCTTAGCTGGATTAGAGAGCTTTGGGCATTTTTCACATGGGAAAAATCCAATCTCTGTCTATAATTTATACAAAGCCTTTTTTTTCCTTGTCTCTTTTGGCAAATGTTCCATCTTTAATGACTCATAATCAGATACATTGTACTTTGTGATTCATAATCACGATCAGATGTGGTTAGATGTTTAAACACTAATGTTCAGCATAAACAGCATTCAGCCATCTGTCTGTAGGGACCCCCCGGAGAACCCGGCCCACCTGGACCCCCAGGTTCTCCTGGCCCTCCGATAGCTGCCGTAGATGACCTTTTTGGTACAAACTTCGACCTTGATGTCGAAGCTGAGCAGGAGGAACCCCCACCTTCACTGCCAGAGTTCAATGAGGACGAAGCAAGACCCAATAACGGATCTGATGCAGTTCGGGGCAACAGTGAGGTTCACTTGTCTCTTAAGAGTCTGGGAAGTCAGTTGGACAGCATGCGCAGTCCTGATGGCACTCGCCAATATCCTGCCCGCACGTGCCAGGACCTGAAACAGTGCTATCCTCTGAAGAAGAGCGGTGAGTGTGATGAATACACACATTTTGCAAATACAGTTCAGAATGCTTTCGTTGTACTGACCCTGATCAGCTACAGTATGAAACAGTCCTGGTTTGCAATTTATGATACATCTACAGTCACCAAAAATTAAGTATTTACTCATGCTGTTCCAAATCCAAATTACATGTGTGTGTGTGTGTGTGTGTGTGTGTGTGTGTGTTTTTTTTCTTTGTCTCATTTGGCAGTAATATTATTCAAACATCCAAAATCCCTCTCCCCTGGGGAGTCCCTCTCCCCATTCATTTGCATTTTAAGAAAAAGAGCTACCTGGACAAAAATAAATTCAAAATAATTCATTTTCGTGTTACACAGAAGAAAAGTAGACCAAATGGGTTTAGACTCACACAAAAAAACTGATTTAGTTATTATTTCGTGCTGTTTAAAACTAGGGTTGACAATAGAATAAAAGAATTATGATTACTCTCATTATTTATAATAATATGAACATTTCAGTGTTAAATCTTGTATAAACCATATTTAATTAATATCTTAAATTAACATTTTAGTTGTGACTTTCCTACAAAATTCATTTTGTAAAGTCTTTGTACATATTCTACAACTGTTCTGAGGATCCAAAAAAAACCTGTTTAAACCTTTATGGCTTTTCATATTTTTTTTACAATATCATGGAAAAAACATACATGCTTCAGGCCTTCAACCACAGATAGTCTGGGGAAAAGGATTATGGGTTATAACATCTTTTATATAATTGACTAAAGTACGCAACACCAGCAGGCATTGAGTGAGAAAATAATCTTCTGCCTATTCAGTGAATGAATAATTTGATTCATTGAATTAAACACAGCGTTCTTTATCAGAAATCTACAGGAATTGCCTTAAATGAAGTGAAAGAATTAGGAAACCACAGCCACTAACCAATATATAAGGGTTATGTAATATTTAACAGGATATATATACAGTATTCCCGACCTTTCAGGAGAATTCATACAGACAAGTCAAAGCAAGATTCAATTATGTCAGGAATAAAACAAACACAGCTGCCCACAGTAAGAATGGTTGTACCATATCAGAAAACAGATGTGCAGTCATCTCTCAAAGAGCTGAATCGTGATCCAGATGGCTTGGATTAGCCCAGACCTCAAACCACATAAATGCTATGTGCAAGTAGTTTGATCGAAGAATAAAAACCTACTTACGGATTTTTTTACAATTTCCTACCAACACAATTGAAAATAAAAAATGAAAATTTCCCGATGATTTACTCACCCCAAGGCCATCCAAGATGTATATGACTTTCTTTCCTCAGACAAAGAGAAATTAAGGTTTTGGAGGAAAACATTCCAGGATTTTTCTCCATCTAATGCAAGTGAGGGGTGCCCAACGTAGACTATTTTTGATGGTTCGAAATTCATATCAGGTTCAAATGGGTCCACACAACCCCAGCTGATGAATCTAGTGAATCAGTCATTTTCAGAAAAAGATAAAAGAAATGCTTTTCAGCTACAAATGCTTGCCTTGGTCCACCTCTGCAAAGCTCATTCACATTACACTTGAGTTCACGACCTCTTGCGTGACGTACACTCACCTAAAGGATTATTAGGAACACCTGTTCAATTTCTCATTATCTAATCAACCAATCACATGGCAGTTGCTTCAATGCATTTAGGGGTGTGGTCCTGGTCAAGACAATCTTCTGAACTCCAAACTGAATGTCAGAATGGGAATTTTGAGCGTGGCATGGGGCCGGTCTGAGTATTTCACAATCTGCTCAGATACTGGGATTTTCACGAACAACCATTTCTAGGGTTTACAAAGAATGGTGTGAAAAGGGAAAAACATCCAGTATGCGGCAATCCTGTGGGCGAAAATGCCTTGCTGATGCTAGAGGTCAGAGGAGAATGGGCCGAATGATTCAAGCTGATAGAAGAGCAACTTTGACTTAAATAACCACTCGTTACAACCGAGGTATGCAGCAAAGCATTTGTGAAGCCACAACATGGACAACCTTGAGGTGGATGGGCTACTACAGCAGAAGACCTCACTGGGCACCACTCATCTCCACTACAAATAGGAAAAAGAGGCTACAATTTGCAAGAGCTCACCAAAATTGGACAGTTGAAGACTGGAAAAATGTTGCCTAGTCTGATGAGTCTCGATTTCTATTGAGACATTCAGATGGTAGAGTCAGAATTTGGCGTAAACAGAATGAGAACATGGATCCATCATGCCTTGTTACCACTGTGCAGGCTGGTGGTGGTGGTGTAATGCTGTAAGGGATGTTGTCTTGGCACACTTTAGGCCCCTTAGTGCCAATTGGGCATCGTTTGAATGCCACGGCCTACCTGAGCATTGTTTCTAACCATGTCCATCCCTTTATGGCCATCATGTACCCATCCTCTGATGGCTACTTCCAGCAGGATAATGCACCATGTCACAAAGCTTAAATCTTTTCAAATTGGTTTCTTGAACATGACGATGAGTTCACTGTACTAAAATAGCCTGCAAAGTCAACAGATCTCAACCCAATTGAGCATCTTTGGGATGTGGTGGAACGGAAGCTTGGATGTTCATCCCACAAATCTCCATCAACTGCAAGATGCTATCCTATCAATATAGGGCAACATTTCTAAAGAATGCTTTCAGCACCTTGTTGAATCAATGCCACGTAGATTTAAGGCAGTTCTGAAGGCGAAAGGGGGTCAAACACAGTATTAGTGTGGTGTTCCTAATAATCCTTTAGGTGAGTGCATACATGTTGGGATGGTCACGTGACGTAGGCCACACAAGAGTCATTATAATCCAGTGATATACTGTATATCCAATAATCAATGATATATTTCAGGATTAAAAGTACATCTCTCTTTCTGAATGTATCCCAGGTGAGTATTGGATAGACCCGAATGAGGGCAGCCCTAGAGACGCCATCCAAGTGCACTGTAACATGGAAATGGGGGAAACCTGTATACCTGCCAACCCTGCCAGTATCCCACGCAAGAACTGGTGGACATCACGCTCCAGCTTACCAAAACCAGTCTGGTTTGGAGCAACCATAAACCGGGGAACTAAGGTTAATGTGATTACAATGGTGACCATCAAAAATATTTGCCCTGTACATGTCACTTAAATGTATATTTCCTACTCCTCTTCAGTTCACCTATGGAAACAAAGAGGCATCAGCTAACATGGTATCAGTCCAGTTAAGGTTTCTCCGCCTTCTGTCAAAAGAAGCAGCACAGAACTTCACCTACCACTGCAAAAACAGTGTGGCCTATAAAGATGAGAAGAACAGCAATCTGAAGAAGGCTTTAGTCCTAAAAGCTTCTGATGGACAGGACATCAAGGCATATAGCAGCAACCGTCTGAAGTACACCGTCATCTCCGACGGATGCTCTGTATGTTTCGATTCTTTTAAGACTTCTTTTAAAAGCATAAAAAAATATTCTTCTAAATTTTTGACTGGTAGTGTACATTTAGACTAATAAATACAACTAATTTAAGTTCAATACTGAGACAGTGATACTGAAAAATGTATATTTGCTATATAAGTTCACTCTGATGATTGTACTTGTGTTGTTTGGTGGAAGTAGGTGTTCTTACATGCATACCCGGCGCTATGGGCGGGCCTTAGGGGGCCGGGCCCGCCTACCGAGCGCCTGTGCCCCCCTCTCCATGCAATTTGCAATTAATAAATTTTAAAAAGAAATTTATTTTAAAAATAAAAATAATGTATTGAATAACTCATGCGGAGATTCCACTCCCAAAAACGTCGACTTCAGCTGTATTAAGAACATGAGTGGGCCAGTTATTTTTATTACTCTTCTTAAGTTGCACCAGCCCTGACACAATGCTAAATCATAAAACAGATATGTACAATAACATTACGATATCCTTTAATCGATTTAAATAGTTATTGATTTAGGTTTATGTGGTCGTTCAATTATGCCTTTATATTTGTATAAAACGTGAATGTAAATAATGGTCCAGGGGTAGAACTTTTGCCAAGCGTGCCAGAGATTCTGGGTTCTAATCCGTTCTAATAACATTTTTTTTTCATCAAAACAGATTATGTTTATCAGTGGTTGTATATCAGGCAGAGACAAAACATCTTCAGAACATTTTGTGTTTTAATTTCACCGTAATGAATAAAGTCTCTCCACAACGGATTGCGCGTCCGAGTGAAGACTGTGCGCAAGCCAGAAAAAAAAAACACATTAGCCTATCCGCGCCAGCGGCAACGAGCATTAATTTGAACAGTTGATTTTAAAAACACATTTCAGCGCTAGATCGTCTCTTATTTAAAAAACGAACGAAACGAATGCTCTGCTAGTTAACTGAAGATGTTTTGTTTATTTGTATTGGTACATTCGTGCCGGAATGTTTCAAAAGTGGTGGGTACAATATCGACGGTGGGGACATATCCCACCCGCAAATTACGCCTGGTACTTGAAATCGGCGTAATAGTTGGTTTTTGTCCTATAGAAAAATTTATTGGATGTCATAATTAGGCCCCCCTACAATATTAAATGCCCGTCCATTGGTTTGTTTCTGCAGCCGGCTCTGCTCATGGCCCTCTATCAGAATCCAGAGTTTTGGGAAGATTGGAGAAACTTAATTTTTCACCCAAAAAAAAAAAACGTAAGGGGTACCACTGTCGTTTTTTTTTCGGGCCGAATTTTTGAGTTTCGATATCTCAGCTCTGGAAGGGGCTAGAGCCTCCATTTTTGCACTCAGGTCTAAGTCTCATGGCCCTCTATCAGAATCCAGAGTTTTGGGAAGATTGGAGAAACTTAATTTTTCGCCCAAAAAAAAAAACGTAAGGGGTACCACTGTCGTTTTTTTTTCGGGCCGAATTTTTGAGTTTCGATATCTCAGCTCTGGAAGGGGCTAGAGCCTCCATTTTTGCACTCAGGTCTAAGTCTCATGGCCCTCTATCAGAATCCAGAGTTTTGGGAAGATTGGAGAAACTTAATTTTTCGCCCAAAAAAAAAAAACGTAAGGGGTACCACTGTCGTTTTTTTTTTCGGGCCGAATTTTTGAGTTTCGATATCTCAGCTCTGGAAGGGGCTAGAGCCTCCATTTTTGCACTCAGGTCTAAGTCTCATGGCCCTCTATCAGAATCCAGAGTTTTGGGAAGATTGGAGAAACTTAATTTTTCGCCCAAAAAAAAAAAACGTAAGGGGTACCACTGTCGTTTTTTTTTCGGGCCGAATTTTTGAGTTTCGATATCTCAGCTCTGGAAGGGGCTAGAGCCTCCATTTTTGCACTCAGGTCTAAGTCTCATGGCCCTCTATCAGAATCCAGAGTTTTGGGAAGATTGGAGAAACTTAATTTTTCGCCCAAAAAAAAAAAACGTAAGGGGTACCACTGTCGTTTTTTTTTCGGGCCGAATTTTTGAGTTTCGATATCTCAGCTCTGGAAGGGGCTAGAGCCTCCATTTTTGCACTCAGGTCTAAGTCTCATGGCCCTCTATCAGAATCCAGAGTTTTGGGAAGATTGGAGAAACTTAATTTTTCGCCCAAAAAAAAAAACGTAAGGGGTACCACTGTCGTTTTTTTTTTCGGGCCGAATTTTTGAGTTTCGATATCTCAGCTCTGGAAGGGGCTAGAGCCTCCATTTTTGCACTCAGGTCTAAGTCTCATGGCCCTCTATCAGAATCCAGAGTTTTGGGAAGATTGGAGAAACTTAATTTTTCGCCCAAAAAAAAAAAACGTAAGGGGTACCACTGTCGTTTTTTTTTCGGGCCGAATTTTTGAGTTTCGATATCTCAGCTCTGGAAGGGGCTAGAGCCTCCATTTTTGCACTCAGGTCTAAGTCTCATGGCCCTCTATCAGAATCCAGAGTTTTGGGAAGATTGGAGAAACTTAATTTTTCGCCCAAAAAAAAAAACGTAAGGGGTACCACTGTCGTTTTTTTTTCGGGCCGAATTTTTGAGTTTCGATATCTCAGCTCTGGAAGGGGCTAGAGCCTCCATTTTTGCACTCAGGTCTAAGTCTCATGGCCCTCTATCAGAATCCAGAGTTTTGGGAAGATTGGAGAAACTTAATTTTTCGCCCAAAAAAAAAAACGTAAGGGGTACCACTGTCGTTTTTTTTTTCGGGCCGAATTTTTGAGTTTCGATATCTCAGCTCTGGAAGGGGCTAGAGCCTCCATTTTTGCACTCAGGTCTAAGTCTCATGGCCCTCTATCAGAATCCAGAGTTTTGGGAAGATTGGAGAAACTTAATTTTTCGCCCAAAAAAAAAAACGTAAGGGGTACCACTGTCGTTTTTTTTTCGGGCCGAATTTTTGAGTTTCGATATCTCAGCTCTGGAAGGGGCTAGAGCCTCCATTTTTGCACTCAGGTCTAAGTCTCATGGCCCTCTATCAGAATCCAGAGTTTTGGGAAGATTGGAGAAACTTAATTTTTCGCCCAAAAAAAAAAAACGTAAGGGGTACCACTGTCGTTTTTTTTTCGGGCCGAATTTTTGAGTTTCGATATCTCAGCTCTGGAAGGGGCTAGAGCCTCCATTTTTGCACTCAGGTCTAAGTCTCATGGCCCTCTATCAGAATCCAGAGTTTTGGGAAGATTGGAGAAACTTAATTTTTCGCCCCAAAAAAAAAACGTAAGGGGTACCACTGTCGTTTTTTTTTCGGGCCGAATTTTTGAGTTTCGATATCTCAGCTCTGGAAGGGGCTAGAGCCTCCATTTTTGCACTCAGGTCTAAGTCTCATGGCCCTCTATCAGAATCCAGAGTTTTGGGAAGATTGGAGAAACTTAATTTTTCGCCCAAAAAAAAAAACGTAAGGGGTACCACTGTCGTTTTTTTTTTCGGGCCGAATTTTTGAGTTTCGATATCTCAGCTCTGGAAGGGGCTAGAGCCTCCATTTTTGCACTCAGGTCTAAGTCTCATGGCCCTCTATCAGAATCCAGAGTTTTGGGAAGATTGGAGAAACTTAATTTTTCGCCCAAAAAAAAAAAAACGTAAGGGGTACCACTGTCGTTTTTTTTTCGGGCCGAATTTTTGAGTTTCGATATCTCAGCTCTGGAAGGGGCTAGAGCCTCCATTTTTGCACTCAGGTCTAAGTCTCATGGCCCTCTATCAGAATCCAGAGTTTTGGGAAGATTGGAGAAACTTAATTTTTCGCCCAAAAAAAAAAACGTAAGGGGTACCACTGTCGTTTTTTTTTTCGGGCCGAATTTTTGAGTTTCGATATCTCAGCTCTGGAAGGGGCTAGAGCCTCCATTTTTGCACTCAGGTCTAAGTCTCATGGCCCTCTATCAGAATCCAGAGTTTTGGGAAGATTGGAGAAACTTAATTTTTCGCCCAAAAAAAAAAACGTAAGGGGTACCACTGTCGTTTTTTTTTCGGGCCGAATTTTTGAGTTTCGATATCTCAGCTCTGGAAGGGGCTAGAGCCTCCATTTTTGCACTCAGGTCTAAGTCTCATGGCCCTCTATCAGAATCCAGAGTTTTGGGAAGATTGGAGAAACTTAATTTTTCGCCCAAAAAAAAAAAAACGTAAGGGGTACCACTGTCGTTTTTTTTTTCGGGCCGAATTTTTGAGTTTCGATATCTCAGCTCTGGAAGGGGCTAGAGCCTCCATTTTTGCACTCAGGTCTAAGTCTCATGGCCCTCTATCAGAATCCAGAGTTTTGGGAAGATTGGAGAAACTTAATTTTTCGCCCCAAAAAAAAACGTAAGGGGTACCACTGTCGTTTTTTTTTTCGGGCCGAATTTTTGAGTTTCGATATCTCAGCTCTGGAAGGGGCTAGAGCCTCCATTTTTGCACTCAGGTCTAAGTCTCATGGCCCTCTATCAGAATCCAGAGTTTTGGGAAGATTGGAGAAACTTAATTTTTCGCCCCAAAAAAAAAAACGTAAGGGGTACCACTGTCGTTTTTTTTTTCGGGCCGAATTTTTGAGTTTCGATATCTCAGCTCTGGAAGGGGCTAGAGCCTCCATTTTTGCACTCAGGTCTAAGTCTCATGGCCCTCTATCAGAATCCAGAGTTTTGGGAAGATTGGAGAAACTTAATTTTTCGCCCAAAAAAAAAAAACGTAAGGGGTACCACTGTCGTTTTTTTTTCGGGCCGAATTTTTGAGTTTCGATATCTCAGCTCTGGAAGGGGCTAGAGCCTCCATTTTTGCACTCAGGTCTAAGTCTCATGGCCCTCTATCAGAATCCAGAGTTTTGGGAAATTGGAGAAACTTAATTTTTCGCCAAAAAAAAAAAAACGTAAGGGGTACCACTGTCGTTTTTTTTTTCGGGCCGAATTTTTGAGTTTCGATATCTCAGCTCTGGAAGGGGCTAGAGCCTCCATTTTTGCACTCAGGTCTAAGTCTCATGGCCCTCTATCAGAATCCAGAGTTTTGGGAAGATTGGAGAAACTTAATTTTTCGCCCAAAAAAAAAAAAAACGTAAGGGGTACCACTGTCGTTTTTTTTTCGGGCCGAATTTTTGAGTTTCGATATCTCAGCTCTGGAAGGGGCTAGAGCCTCCATTTTTGCACTCAGGTCTAAGTCTCATGGCCCTCTATCAGAATCCAGAGTTTTGGGAAGATTGGAGAAACTTAATTTTTCGCCCCAAAAAAAAAAACGTAAGGGGTACCACTGTCTTTTTTTTTTCGGGCCGAATTTTTGAGTTTCGATATCTCAGCTCTGGAAGGGGCTAGAGCCTCCATTTTTGCACTCAGGTCTAAGTCTCATGGCCCTCTATCAGAATCCAGAGTTTTGGGAAGATTGGAGAAACTTAATTTTTCGCCCCAAAAAAAAAAACGTAAGGGGTACCACTGTCGTTTTTTTTTCGGGCCGAATTTTTGAGTTTCGATATCTCAGCTCTGGAAGGGGCTAGAGCCTCCATTTTTGCACTCAGGTCTAAGTCTCATGGCCCTCTATCAGAATCCAGAGTTTTGGGAAGATTGGAGAAACTTAATTTTTCGCCCCAAAAAAAAAACGTAAGGGGTACCACTGTCGTTTTTTTTTCGGGCCGAATTTTTGAGTTTCGATATCTCAGCTCTGGAAGGGGCTAGAGCCTCCATTTTTGCACTCAGGTCTAAGTCTCATGGCCCTCTATCAGAATCCAGAGTTTTGGGAAGATTGGAGAAACTTAATTTTTCGCCCCAAAAAAAAAACGTAAGGGGTACCACTGTCGTTTTTTTTTTTGGCCGAATTTTTGAGTTTCGATATCTCAGCTCTGGAAGGGGCTAGAGCCTCCATTTTTGCACTCAGGTCTAAGTCTCATGGCCCTCTATCAGAATCCAGAGTTTTGGGAAAATTGGAGAAACTTAATTTTTCGCCAAAAAAAAAAAACGTAAGGGGTACCACTGTCGTTTTTTTTTTTCGGGCCGAATTTTTGAGTTTCGATATCTCAGCTCTGGAAGGGGCTAGAGCCTCCATTTTTGCACTCAGGTCTAAGTCTCATGGCCCTCTATCAGAATCCAGAGTTTTGGGAAGATTGGAGAAACTTAATTTTTCGCCCAAAAAAAAAAAACGTAAGGGGTACCACTGTCGTTTTTTTTTCGGGCCGAATTTTTGAGTTTCGATATCTCAGCTCTGGAAGGGGCTAGAGCCTCCATTTTTGCACTCAGGTCTAAGTCTCATGGCCCTCTATCAGAATCCAGAGTTTTGGGAAGATTGGAGAAACTTAATTTTTCGCCCAAAAAAAAAAACGTAAGGGGTACCACTGTCGTTTTTTTTTCGGGCCGAATTTTTGAGTTTCGATATCTCAGCTCTGGAAGGGGCTAGAGCCTCCATTTTTGCACTCAGGTCTAAGTCTCATGGTGACTTGAGTATCCAAATGTATCACACAGTGGATCAGTATACATTCTCATTGGTAGTTTCCACATCACATATTATTCTCTTTTGCATACAATCATCACTTTGTTAAACTTTGTTGCATCGCTGTTTCTGGAAATCATCTCACTGAATGACTTGCGGTCATTTCGCTGCTGCAAATTGCTGCAAATCAGTGTGAATGGTCCTTAAGTTAGTTAGTCCCCAATGCTGATGACAATGTCAAGATTAGCATTCAGTCTGTGTTTATGCAAAAATGCTACCAATGGAAAACCTCACAATTCTCGCTCTTTGTTCCTCTCTCCAGAAACCCAACGGTGAATGGGGCAGGACTGTCTTTGAGTACCGCACACAAACTCTTTCACGGCTCCCGATTGTGGACTTGGCTCCGGTGGATGTAGGTGGCCAAGATCAGGAGTTTGGCATTGATATCGGCCATGTGTGCTTCTCATGAAGTCAAGGATAAAAGCATCATCATTTGGACTGGAGTTCTCAGCCAATACAGTATTTATTGTCAAATGCCGTCTGTAAGGGCCTTGAGGGATTTCTGACCTTTATTTCATGATTATTCATGATGATTTCCACTAGCCTGTGGTGTATGAGTGCATGAGAGACTAAATGGACCCTTTAATTTATACTTTATACGCCATGTGTTATTAAAGTATGTGAAAACATTGATTTGAAATGAATTCAAAAAGTCACGTTTTACAAATTTGACGGCCTTGAGTGTCTAACATGTTTGATGTTATGTTGATGTTGTTCACCCTTAAATTGCAGTCATTTCTATGGGATTTTGAAGGTTTGTTTGTGTAGTATTAAACCTACTTTTATTCAGGGTCATTCAATTCCCCGACAGTTCTCTTCCCAATCCCAGTTGACCATACGAGAGAGAAACTGTTGGACGGATGATATCCTTAATTATTAATGAAAACTCTCACAGAAGCCAATGTTGGTCTCATTAAAAGACTCATTAGTCTACGATAAATGACACAGAGAAACTCTTTATCCATCTTTTTGTACTCTTAAGAGGGGAGATGGGGCAGCAATTGTTTGTAATGAATTCCAGATTAAATATTTGAAACCCTTTTCAAGTTTTATCATGAATAAATGTTCGTACAGAAATTGTTAGCTGCTGTTGAAAAAAAAGAGCACAAAGCTAATATGGTGTGCTATCAGTTTTCATTTATTCACCATTAAAGAGCAAGTGATATGCAATCAAATATTAAAACAGCCATCAATGAAAGAGAAACGGATTGGAACATCTGGAAATATAAATGGAGAACCTTAACAATGATTGAACATATGAGAGACCCACCAGTTTTTGATAAATCTATAACCCTGATGATGTTTAGTTTAATAGTTTAGATATTATAATATAACCTTGCACCATTACAACATGAGCAACCTCCTCAGCAACAACTGCAACCACAAATATATTATAATTAATGAATCTTTGTATTTCAAAACGCCATCTAAATTTGGTCCAAACTCTAGAAAAATTCTAGAAAGAGCTAGAGCACATTTGGTGTCCATCTCTCTTTTAACAATTCCTGTTTCAAGATTAAGAAGTTAAAATACACAAATCATCAATCTTAAATGTTGATTTTATTATATAAAAATAGAAATGACCTCTACGGACCTTTTTGAGGCTCCTTCTACATTACTCTCGAACTCAATTCAAAATACAAATATTAAATATGTGATTTTTTGGGGGTTTTGTGGTCAAGAATCACAGCGCGTATAAAAACGTATTTCCAAAATCAGCATCGGCTGTCCACCTGATCCTGGGAAAACACCGTCCCCTCTAAAGTCAGTCCCATTTGGAACCCCTCCTGCCAAAACAACAAATGTGAAATATGAACTAAATTGTGAGCTCAATAAAAACATGTAACAAGGTCAATGAAGAAGATAAATTCAAGTTTAGATAAGACCATATGATAACTTTCATTATTAACATTATAACAAACAAAACATCATCACATTGTTTAATGCTATGAACATTCAAAATTGTTATCTTTAAAATTTGAACCCCAACAGTGAAACCGGCTTCACATGAAGTGTTGATTCTTTATTTTGTTTCCACTCTACAGCCTAAGAAAGCCGTTCTTCTGCATCTACGGTTGTGAAATGTTGACTTTCATGAATACAGCCAATAGGAATGAGTCTATATCAGTGCACGTTTTCGATACATTTCTTCATATTACACATTGAAAAAATAAGCTTAGGGCTGAAACTACATCCAGCTTCCATGGTACTGCTTATGTGTGTGTAAACAAAAATTTCATTTAGTCTGAAAAAACAACGAGATGCCATGCATACAATAACCAGCACCACAAAGAATCCGCAACTGCAGAACTAAATGCCTGTCATTGACAAAGTTCACCCCAGCCCTTTGTCTTGGATTAATAAGTCTATACAACTTTCAGCTCAATTTTAATATATTTGACCATAAATCCAGTTCTGCACAATTTATGTAAACTAACCTATTAAATTGTTAGTTTACCCGAAAATGAAAATTCTGTCATTAATTACTAATCGTTCGCACAAATTAAGATATTTTTGATGAAATCTGAGAGCTTTCTGTCCCTCCGAGGTCTACCACTTTGATGTTTCGAAAAGTTCATTAAAGAGATTAAAACTAATCCATAGTCAAATTTTCTGAAGAGACACAATCGTTTTTATATGATGAACAGATTGATTTTAGGCTTTTATTGACATATAAACATTAAGTGAATCTGCTATACACTCGAGAATGAACCTTAGTGGTTCTTGCACTTCAAGCAAACATGCTAATGTGAAATGATGTGTGAGCTGATGAATGTTTATATGTAAATAAAAAGCCTAAATTCAATCTGTTCAAAGTGATCGTGTCGCTTCAGAAAATTTGGACTAAAACGCACAATTCATGTGGATTTGTTTTATGATCACTTTAAAAACATTTTGAAAAGTGCTAGTTGCGTAGCTGTCAATGGAGGGACAGAAAGCTCTCAGATCTTCATTTGTTTGACATGACAAGTATGACAAGTTTGACATGAGGGTGAGTAATTAATGACAGAATATTTATTTTTGAGTAAACTATCCCGTTGAAGGTATACTTCACTGTTTTTTCATGTTAAACTACGTATGTGATTCCCTTAACTAAGACGAGTTCATACATACCTCTGTCGTCTCAGTGCATGCACTCAATCGCTGTGGTATTCTGCCATATAATATAGTTATCCACTTTACACGCTTAGAAAAGCGCAATGTTTTACTTTGTATCACTGTCCTAGTATAGGTCGAGTTCCACTACTCGTGTAACTGTATTTAAATAGGGAAAACGTGGAGGTGTTTGTTTGGTCGCTTGTCTGCTTGGCCCGTATTGAATGAACTGGGCTAGTTAAGTGCGATCAAAGTGTCTCGTGTGCCAGAGCGATTGAGCGCACGGACTGAGACGACAGAGGTATGCATCAACTCGTCATTGTTAAAGGAATAACAGTATCCCTTCGAAGGGATAGTTCACCTTGAAATTAATTTTCGATATGTTTTAGCTTACCTCAAGGGCATCCAAGATGTAGGTGTCTTTGTTTCCACAGTATTTTCAATTTTGACATTTTTTGGTCAAACCGGTGTATGTCAGTCATATAATGCAGGTCTGGGGGTCCACGTCGAAGAGTATGCACAGAAAAGTCCAAATTAAACATGAATGACTGGTAAATGTAAGTACGCATTGATGGCCTAAGACACAAAACGAGAAAACGAACAGTATTTATATCGTTTTTACCTCATGTTAACAGCCATATCCAACTGATCTGAATCAGATGTCCAACTTAACCGTGTCCAAAGTTCCGCAGGAAGTGATCGCTTACGCGTGTACGTCAGTGATGCGCGGGTTGATCCGAATGCCTGCGGTCACCCGCAGTTACGGGTCATCCAAAAATGTTTTTAATGATATTCGGGTCGCGGTCGGTCGGGTCGTTTGAAAAAAGATGCCAATTAAACATTTGTATTAGTACTAGACACAATTTTTGATGAAATATACAGCCCTACACATTATTGGCTGAATAACTGGCACGAAGATAACACACAAGCTCAGTCTAAACAGTTCTCGGTTCTATACTGGTGATTCGAGAACTGCTGTCCCTGTGCATTCGGTAGTACGCAGTATCTATGCGCAGTATCAGCTGCTCGTGCTCATCACTTCTCTCAACAGTCTCGGTTCAGTGAACTGTTGGAGTTACTGGAGTAAAATAGAATTCAGGATATTGATTTATTTCGATTCGGAGGCGACTGTCAGGCATGTCTGAAAGTAAGTAACTAACTTGTGGATCAGCACTGACGCAAGACGCGAACTGTTTCGAACGATTCAGTTCGATTTAGTGTACTGGTTCGACCGGTTCACTAAAAAGAGCCGGTTCAAAAGAACGATTCGTTCACGATCATTACAGTCTGCAGAGATGGAGGCGGCAAGAGAAAAGGTGAAGACTGGGGAGTGGAAGCTCCGCAAATACACAAATAGAAAGAGTAAAAGTGTGGGAGACATTTGCTGAAATAATGAAATATGATGACCAAAGTGCTGGCTTTGCCTTTGTTATGTGTAGGCCAGGCCTACGTCTTCTTGCGATGCTGTGTTGTTACACATCTATGGCCCAATAACGCTCCGATGAGCATTTACTACTTTTAAAAAATGCGGTCAGGAAGCGGGTCGGGTACAATATTTTTTTACTTTTTTTTGCGGTCCGAGTTGCGGGCGGGTAGTTGAAAACGTCGGTCGGTTGCGGTTTGTTTATACATTGACCCGCGCATCACTGGTGTACGTCACTTAGTGTTTACACAGAGATTTCGGAAGTTTTACCTTTCACTGTGAAGATCTAAACATATTTAGATATACGGGAAATCGCAATGGCAGACGATTTCGATAAATCTAAATATGTTTAGTGAAAGTTTTTATTACAACTTCCAAAATCACTGTGTAAACACTGAGTGATGTACACGCGTAAGCGATCACTTCCGGCGGAACGCTCTGACATGGTTCAGTTCGGTTCAGATAGACATCTGATTCAGATCAGTTGGACATAGCTGTGGTTACACGAGGTAAAAACGATATTAATTCTGTTCATTTTCTCACACAAACTGCTCGTTTCGTGTCTTAGGCCATCAATGTGTGGACCCCCATACCTGCATTATATGACTGACAGACAACAACGGTTTGACCGAAAAATGTCAAAATTGAAAATACTGTGGAAACAAAGACACCTACATCTTGGATGCCCTTGAGGTAAGCTAAAACATATAAAAAATGTATTTCAAAGTCAACTATCCCTTTAAGACCATAACACCATTTAAACACAGCAAAACACCATACATAGATACAGCAAAAGTCATGCTTGTAAATCTTGTAAAAGCATATCAAAATACTAGATACACCATGAGGTGAATCACAAATGAATGTGTACAAACCATCTCTGCCGCTGAGAGGTTGCGGGTGGCATTAAGGGTGAAAAGAGAGATGAAGATAATTGAATTATTCAGGATTACAGGATTTACAGACACAGGAGTGCAAATGATAGGGTCTAATAATCTCATATCAGGTGGGATGTCCTCAGAAATGGAAACTTCCATAATCCTCTGGATTATTGGAATGGGAATTAAAAACAGTCTATAGTGGGGTGAATGTTGCCAAATGCTCCTCGTATGCTTTGGTCTTTTAATAAAGTCTGACAATCATGTTAGCTGCTTCTACTGCTTTTGTCTATGACACTTTCCCATATCAAGAATTCTGTCATAATCCTATTCAAACCATATCAACAACATGTTCAAAATGATTCACACCTATTTTATAGCATTTCAATTTGGAGATATTGCACATTACGTCAGAGACCAAATTAAAACCTTATGATACATAAACAAGTAGAGCTGTTGTAGAGTTATAGAGAATATAAAGATTGTGCTTTAATTCTACAATATTTAGTAGATGATACTATAAAAATAAAATAGATTTTACAGAATAATATCATGCATAATTTATTGGTACCATATTGATTATCCACCAATATATATTTTTAACATGAACATAATCATATTGATCAGAATTTTAATATGGTTGAATATGTAAATGAACGATTAAAAACTAAATAAATGTGCTTACCTGCATCTCATCTAGTTTGGACTGGATGTCTGGAGTGAAGACAGTAGGTCCACAAATAAACGGATCAAATGGTTCTGCTCCAAACAGGTCTATATCTACAGCACAACCAGACAAAAAGTAGTAAATATTTTGTCTTTAGCAGAAGGGTGCAATCGTTCATGAATCACCCCTTGCAAAGTCTGAATCATAAATTTATATTTATAAATATAATGTTATATTATATATAATTAACTGATCACTAAACACATTTGTCAGTGCCTTGGAACTGAAAGTGAAATTCACAACCATTTACTAACAAATGTCTTCATACAACATCTATACACTCTGGTTCCATTTGTTTTCAACTCAAATGGACCATTTTATGGAGAAGCATAACATTAGCAAATATGGATTTTGCCTTCAGGTTTTTGAAAATGTAACACATTCATCTAAGTGAGACGGCAGAAATAAGGAGCCCCCCACCTCTGTCTTTTGGAAGCAGGTACGGAGATGAGATGCCGTTACAATTCAACCGTCTCGATATTGGAGACTCAGGGGTGAATGGAACCATATCAAATATGTCAGTGGAGGGCGCTCTAGCTTGTATGCTTCCAGCCTAATAACGTTGACAACAAAAATATCATTATAAAGGCCTCAGAACCAGCCCAAATGTAAGATATGACTTCATTTGTGTGATAAGCATTTAACTGTAAATCCTGTGTATAGATTTTATCACTATGTGTTCCTTATTTAGGTATTTAGTTCTTATTTATGTGCAAGAAAAAAGAAAGCAGTGGTTCTCAAAAGGTGGGGAGACTTCCCTATTTTTAAAATCTTTCAGCATTCAAATTTACCACATTAATGGCAGACGTGACAACAAATGAGGTTTCTTCTATGTATAGCATTCACTGAGTAGTAAACAAATTCATCCTTCACCCAGGAGTTTGATTACGTTGAACGTCACAACACTGAATCCACCATTTTGTACGACAAAATTGACGTCTATATTGACGTCTTTCTGCGATTGAAACAACATACCTTCTGATGTTCATTCATTTTGCGCTATAGCTACTAGGAATTGAGATGATTGGTTCACGTACCGCTTGAACCGAGGCACTACAGACAGCACCAAAATGGTATTTATTGTTCGAATTTCTTAAAGCAGAGACTTTGGGCCCTATCATACACCCGGCACAATGCAGTGCGACGAAAGTTGTTATTTTAAGGGCACATTACTTATATGCGTCTACAGACACTCTGCTTTTTACACACACCACAAACATGAAAAATATTAAAAATAAAAGGTTTACAATGTAAACGATTATTATTGTGTACATAAAGATATGGTGGAAATTGGCTTGTCCCATAGATGGTCTGCTTGTGAGCTTTAACCTTGCGAATGAGCAGATCCGTTTCCTCTCTGTCTCTTGCAAATTCCGCCATGTAAATAGCAATCCACCATGATACAAGCGCAACTGGCTTTTAAAGGGAATAGGACATGAGACTTTGATTGGTTTATTGCACGTAATCCCAAAACACACCCATTATTCATTAAGAGAATAGGGTTAAACCGTTTTAGACCATGCACCGGGTAGGTCGACCATTTTTCCCGTCGTTAAACTAGCAAAAGTGGATTCGAACATGCCCTAAGTGCACTTGCGCCGTTCACAAAACCATTCAACAAAACTTCTAATTCTTCTTATTATTTAACATTTGATAATGAGGGGGATGGTGTAAGGTTTTTATTTTAAAAGTGTCACCCCTCCAAAATTGAGAACCACTACTGCATTAAAGAAATAGTTCATCCATTGCTATATTGCATTGTATGGAAAAGAGTATAGTCTGGACATTCTGAAATCAAAGAAAAAAGCCATTCAGGTTTGGAACCACGTGAGAGTAAATGATAGATTTTTCATTTTTGGATGGACTATTCCTTTACGAATTAAAGATTCAAATTAAAAGAGAGTAAGATTGTATACTGACTAAGTGAATCGCATGCAAAGTGAACTGTGTTATTTTTGTGTATGAGACATTTACACGAGGTCGTGGCACGATGTAACCACTTGAGGACTGTAATTGGGTGGGCTTAGCAGGAGGAGGGGTGAGCAAGCTTGCTGATTGGCTGGAATCGGGTGAGCTGACAGGCGTTAGAGTGACAGAGGAGATCTCTAGGCTGGACAGTGATGTGACATCACCACACCAGGACAAGGCAGACGGCCTCTGCAAAATGTACGGCTCATTAGAGACATTAACATGCAGGTGCTGAAAAAGGGCACTGGGGGTTGGGGGGAGAGAGAGAGAGAGAGAGCAAAAGCTAGATTGGAATAACGAAAAGGGGGAAACATGTGGTGTAGGTAGATAGGAGAGAAAAACAAACATTTTAATGAACTAAAAGAGAGCTGAATCATTGAGATTGGAGCAGCATCCAACTGGAATGATAAGCAAGACTCATTTCCTACTGAACGTACTGGTGAGCAGCGAGGATCCATCAGCTGATCCTCCAGCTCTTTCAGCTTCTTCTTCAGTTTTGAGTTCTCCATCTCCAAATCCTGAATCTTCAATTAACATAAGCACATATTGAATAAAAAGATTCACATTTTTATTTTGTCAATCACATGCAAACATTTTACATAAGTCTTTGGCATTTGGGACAACCCACAGTCTGTTAACAGGATTATTCTGGTTAGATTAGTCTATCTTTAGTCGTATTTACACTTCAAAGAAAGCTGGATGTAAGCAGCATACAGTATATTATGAAAAGGAGCATTTTTACAGATATTGTAATGCAGCATACTGGAATGAAAATCAGGGAAGCAGTCAGCAGACAGAAAAGACCGTTGTTGAACAAACATTTAAGTTTATCAACTTTGTCTTCGATATTTATCCTAAAACAGAAACAATTGTTGACATGTGCCCGTTGCACATGTGAGCTCTGCTTTTTATATTTCAGCAGCACCTATATTAACAGGTTACAGTATCCAAAATTGCCACATAAGCCATGTGGATTCACAGATTGAAATTGGCAAAGTTTGTAGAATGAAACTTTTTAAAGGAAGCCTGTTTATTGACAACAACTCAAATATCAGACCCACCCCCCTTCCCAAACCCTTGTGTGCACCAGTCTACAAAAAGTTCTCCCCTTATCTCCCCAACTACGATCACATCCACATTTTTTCCCCCAAATCAGTGCAAAACAACCGCAAGCCTTCCTCTATGTTGCAGTTTGTTGACATGTTCCTATAAGAATCAACTCTCAAATTGATGGGTGTTTCTTTTTACTGCGAGCCCTTTTATGTCTCAGGGGTTAACTTTTAATTCAAAGACAACATGAACAAAATCTTGGAAACTTTTTATCATGCTTTCATCATTTACTTTTGCCACTTTTCAGAACTAAGCTTGAATGTGTGAGACTTCTGATGCTGCGTTCACGTGCTATGGAAAGTAGGATATTTTCCACTTGTGAACTGGTATTTACCAGTGTGTTGCGTTCAAGTGCTTTTGTTGTCGTAATGTGGTAAAAACATGGAGATCCAGACCTGTTATTTAGCTAAAACTATTTTAGATTGCTTAAGTCATCTGCAACAGCAAGAAAATGATTTATCAAAACTCAAAAGGTAAATAATATGCTATATATTTTCTAGATCATGAATAATATAATTTTTTACCATTCACGACTCTTGCGTTGCTCTCCGCCATTTTTAAAAGTTTAAAGGTTATCTCATCTCGGCAACTCGTCCATCAAAATATTCTACGAGTTGCCCAGTAGAAAATACCACATGAGGGGGTGTTCATGTGCATTTTCCACGTCGGCTTTTAATATTTACCATAATTACCATAGCACATGAACACAGCATGATTCCTCAGCTGCTATAGGTAAATAACTACAACAATAACAATGTGCAGTAAATGGCAAAACTATTCACGCTACAAACCAGTGTTCATAATTATGACATTAAAATATTAAGGTAAGAAATACCAGTTTAGAATATGAAGCATGCAGTATAACAAGCACAAAATAACTGAAAGAGGATTAGCTAGACACATTCAATTTACAAATTCAATTGACAAATGGCTGCACATGCACATGCATCCATCAAATAATATTCTATTGGTTTACCCTTGTCTTAGACCCACACTTAATCTTAAACTTTAAAATCTGTAATAAAAAATGAATAATTACAAATCCCCCTGTGGTCAAAATCAAGTTTATAATGTTTATATGTGATGTTTTCAATATGCTTTAAGACAAACCATGTGCAAATTCATAAGTCAACACCATTGCTGAGTATTTTCTCTTTAAATTGCAGTGAAAAAAAGATATCACAAACTACCTTGTAACCAATCACGTCAACATGTGATCATCAACAATTGGATCTTTGAGCAGTATGAGTGAGTGGAGGTGGGTCTAATTTGCATATTCATAAAACGCTGTGTATTAAATGAGGAAAGGGTGTAGTTACATTCAAGCGATTAAAAGGTATCGATAATTTGTTTTCAAGGAAAAAATGTTTAAATATGTCATTTTTGTGATCAAAGATAAGTTTTAAGGGATATAATTATTTTCAGGTTGACTTTAAGCTGATTTAACGAATTTCTGAAGAAAACGAACAAAATCAAGATAAAGATCAAGCATATTTCTGTTGTTTCCTTTCTGGTCAGACCGTAATTTAATTGTGCAAAAAAGTTTTTTTTTTTCTGTATTTAGGATACACATGATCTAGCAATAACAGTAACCTCAGCAAGACAAAAGAGCCATTTTATTTAAAAAATCTTAAAAATGTCATTTTCACCACCATAATTTCCATCACAGAAAATTAAGACAATATAAAATCGAAATGTTGGGAATTTGTATTGCATTAAGAAATAAATGACAAAATTCTTTTACAAAATAAATTAGTGAAAGGTATGTTTAGTATGGCCAGAAGTACCCAAGAATCATCCTGCTATGAGCGTGTTCGTGTGAGAATGAAGAATTCTGGGCACATATCTGCATCTCGAACGTGTGTGTGTGTGTGTGCAGTAATCCATGAACATAATCTTACTCGTTTCTGAAGGTTTCCAATCTGTTTCCTCGTCTCTACATCTTTTCCACCAGACTCTAGGAACTTTTTGTAGGCGAGATCAAAGGCTTGTCCGATAGCAAGAGTGATCTCCTCCGCCTGGGTAAGATTTTGCACACGTTGCAATCAATAAACAAACCATATTTCTACTGTATGTAACATTTGTTAGGTATCACAAGCTTATTTACTTACACATTTTTCACTGTCAAACACGTAACACAGGTGTTTCTTCGTCTCGGGTTCTGTACAGATAAAGGTGAAGATTCTTTTATCTGTTTTGTCATCTGCACAGAAGGACATTCTGTGAAGTTGGCAGTTATGCTGCATCTCCTGGAACAAGAAGGACAGTTGAACTGAGATGAAAGGTTCACTGGAATGACTGACCTATTTTGAAGCAAAAAGCAACAAATCGAAAACAGCCCAGAGGAGATTTTTTTTTTGTTGCTCAGGGGTTTAAATTTTTAAGGCTCTTTCAACAATGTTGATTTTTTTTTCAGTTGTTTCTCCCAAAATTAACCAACGAGAGAACAAATTTATACATTTTTAACATTAGCATATTTCACATGCATGAGAAGCACTTATTATTTACACTCACCTAAAGGATTATTAGGAACACCATACTAATACTGTGTTTGACCCCCCTTTCACCTTCAGAACTGCCTTAATTCTACATGGCATTGATTCAACAAGGTGCTGAAAGCATTCTAGAAATGTTGGCCTATATTGAGATGCACATCCAGGGCACGAAGCTCCCGTTCCCCCACATCCCAAAGATGCTCTATTGGGTTGAGATCTGGTGACTGTGGGAGCCATTTTTGTACAGTGAACTCGTTGTCATGTTCAAGAAACCAATTTGAAATGATTCGATCTTTGTGACATGGTGCATTATCCTGCTGGAAGTAGCCATCAGAGGATGGGTGGTGGCCATAAAGGGATAGATATGGTCAGAAACAATGCTCAGGTAGGCCGTGGCATTTAAACGATGCCCAATTGGCACTAAGGGGCCTAAAGTGTGCCAAGAAAACATCCTTACACCATTACAACACCACCACCAGCCTACACAGTGGTAACAAGGCATGATGGATCCATGTACTCATTCTGTTTACGCCAAATTCTGACTCTTCCATCTGAATGTTTCAACAGAAATTAAGACTCGTCAGACCAGGCAATATTTTCCAGTCTTCAACTGTCTTACAAATTATAGCCTCTTTTTCCTATTTGTAATGGAGATGAGTGGGGTCTTCTGCTGTTGTAGCCCATCCACCTCAAGGTTGTACGTGTTATGGCTTTGTTGTGTTACTCTTCTATCAGCTTGAATCAGAATTTTTATTAACTCATTACATAGAGACATAGTTCTCGCTGAACCATTCATTTAATCTGCCCTTATATAACATATTGTAAGCAAAATTGCAGATGCTTCTCGGTGTATAAACGCATGGGACACTGGACACTGCGATTTCACTGGAATGAAAAGTGATAAACTAGAGGATTTTTCTGTGCTCAAGAACATTATGTTTTTGCTTTCAGCCACTGATAACAGCCTCAACCAGCTCTCAAAGCATTCAAAATAACATTTTCCAGCATGAACAAAATGAAAACTCTGCTCAGACTGCTCAACAACTAGAGATGCTTCCTTGAAATAGATACATTCCTGCCTAGAGCTGTTTCAAAAACTGATGAGGATATGTCATACCCCTCAGCACCATCAAACAGACAATATGACTATTAACTGATTACAGTATTGACACTGTAAACCCGAATAAGTTGTCCAATGTTTTTTGAGGCAATTTGAATTTCTTAACTTAAAAATTTTGAAGTAAGCAGAACTGTCAGATTTTTATTTTGTATATGCGCATTTGAATTACTCTTGGCTTAAATGATTTGGTAAAGCTAACTTATTAATTTAACAACTTAAATATTTTTAGTAGTGGAACTTCAGAAATTCTGTAAATTCTAACTTGCTAATTAGAAACATGCTTTGAGGTGCATTAGTATACCATAGCAATTGCTGAATGAATGTGGCAATATAGAAAATGTAACATATTTCTATTCTCAAACTAAGATCATGCTCCATGATGAAAAAAAAAAAAAAAAAAAAAAACAACACTAAATCTTCCACAACATTAATCTTGCACAAAAAACATTATACCACTTAATTTCAGCAATTACTCTCCCCTTCGATTGTCATGGCAAAGCATGCATGGAAATAGAAATCCCAGCCCAGTTCCAGTTAAACTTGAGTTTGTCTAGAAAAAAACTCAAAAAACAATGAAACAATTCAGATTACTTAAAATGTGTCCAATTTGTGAACTCAAAAGAAAAAGAAAGTTCTATATACCCATAAAAGTTAATTCGATTGAACTAACTTGTCTAATTTAAAGGGATAGTTCACACAAAAATGAAAATTAAGTCATGAATTACTCACCCCAATGCTGTACCAACCCGTAAGACCTTCGTTCATCTTCGGAACACAAATTAAGATATTTTTGATTAAATTTGAGAGCGGTCTCACTACCACATTGGCTGCCCAAGGGACTGGCTCTTGACGGCCCAGAAAGTCAATGAAAAAAATGTTTAAATATCCCATGTGACTACCGTGGCTCAACTATATGTTTATCAAGCGACGAGAATACTTTTTGTGCGAAAAAACAAACAAAAATAACGAGTTTATTCGACTATTCCTTTTCTTCCTTGTTGGCCTGAAACGAGACTTCCTTAGATTTCCACGACGCATGCGCGAGAACTGAAATGAGGTAGTTGAAGGAGATCGCAATTCTCGCGCATGCGTCGTGGAAATCTAAGGAAGTCTCGTTTCAGGCCAACAATGAAGAAAAGGAATAGTCGAATAAAGTTGTTATTTTTGTTTGTTTTTTCGCACAAAAAGTATTCTCGTCGCTTGATAAACTTATAGTTGAGCCACGGTAGTCACATGGAATATTTAAACATTTTCTTCATTGACTTTCTGGGCCGTCAAGAGCCAGTCCCTTAGGCAGTCTATGTGGTGGTTTTACAGCTCTCAAATTTTATCAAAAATATATCTTTATTTGTGTTCCGAAGACGAACGAAGGTCTTACGGGGTTGGTACAGCATGGGGGTGAGTAATTAATGACTTAATTTTCATTTTTGGGTGAACTAACCCTTTAAATCGATCTTACTCAAACCAATTACTTATTTGGAGCTTTAAGGTTTACATAATATATGTTAATTTCCACTTAAATATAAGTGTGATCTCCTTCTTGTAAATTAGATTTCATGAGGATCAATTTTGTGATGAAGGCTATCTTGATCAAGATTGTGCATACTTTATTCCCCGAAAACCATTTTACAGTTTAATTGGCAAAGAAATACTTTATTTTATCTGCAACAATCACATCAATTTCGGTATAGTGTCCCAAAATCAACATCCAATGACAGACACTTTGACATGGACAAAAGCGGTGTGCGTGTGAAAGGGCAAAGTTTAATTGTAAATGAGGTAAATGAACTGTAAATGTAAATGACGATTGATAGATATGTGGTTTCACAGCTGATGTGACTCATACATCCTCTCTGTATGTTCTTTCTCATCTAAACTGACAAGCGCTGAAGCATAACGAACTCACTAAAGTCTATAAGGGATATTGCAATCAAATTTCAAGCGAAATTGCAAATTCACGTAGCATTAAGTCTTCCCCCATTGAGAATTTAAAGCCCTGAAGCGATTCCGATGCCCAGAAGCGATCGCCCTTGGTTATTGCTGTGTTTTCCCGTGGTTGCGCAGATGCTGCAAATATCTAGCAAAATATCTCACATTACAAACAGAAACTATTTCTCATGTGAGAAGATTCTGCTTCCAACAACCTGACACCTTCTCTTTAGAAATGGAAAATAGGCATTTTTGGTCTTTGTTTTGTATTCTTAACAAGTTACAAATATAACAGGGATAATTCTGTTGATTTCCCACAATGTTTAAAAAAAATTGTTGTTTTAATTGTTTGAGCCTAGACGTCCATGTAGTAATGTCATTTGAAAGACCATGTGTTATCACTAAAATAATATATAAAATATAATATAAATTTGTATATAATTCATAATACTTTTCAGAATGTATTGTTTTTCTATTCTAAACAATGACTAAAATGGGAGAAACATCCATTTATGATTGTTCTAAAAAACTGTTCACAATCATTGGCTCTCTTTTCAGATCCTGACAGAGCTATTAAAGCTATTTTGTTTTGAACAAACACATCTTATTGCATTTATCAAGTGCTAATTGGTCAGAATTAGTTACATTCATTAAATATTGGAATGAGATAATTCATCAGTTGTGCTAACTGAACTTAATTGGCATGACATTAAACAGTAAATGTTTGAAAGATAAGATAGCACATTTCATTTTCAGTTAAATTGCACTCCATTGTTCTGTCAGAGCAGATGTGAGAATAATAGTGGGGTAGTTTATGGAGCTGAATAAATTGCTCTGATTGTTCGGGTCTAAATTAGGGTTGCCATGCATGAAATTAAATCAAGCACTTCCTGAGACTGAACACAGACAATTTTATATTTGAAAAAACCTACCTTAGTTTTAGGGTCCAATATCTTCACACCATATATAGAGATCTGAAGCTCCACTTTAGGAGTTTTCTGCCCCTCTGACTTCTTGATGTGTCTTTGAAACTGAGGAAGCAAAAGTGATTCAGCTCATGCAGCGGAAGTACATAGGCTACTATCAAGACAAAAGCAGAGTGAGCCGGAGGTGTTCATCCTTTTTAAATGCTGCTGGAGAGCAGTAGTGCTCAAACGCGTCTCTAGAGCAATACACAGTCAAGTCCAAAACTGGACATAAATATTGCTCAGGAAAAGGACATCATTACCACCCATTATAGCAATAACGTCTGGGCCGAGTCTGGTTTACATTAGGCACTTCTGGCTTAAAGTTGCCTTGTTTGCATTGTATTGTAGTTCATCAGCTGAAGGAACCCACCAACAACAAGTATTTAAGATATTCTTGTCCATGAATATGGCTCAACTAAAAAAAACCTGCGTTTTGGGGGCCTGAAAACGTAGGCTTTGAAAACAGGTTTCAAAGTGCATGGTTTTTGAAAATGATAATGTTATTGTCTCCATGTACACAACAAAAAAAATTAATTTTGTAAAAACTATGATATCATGAGCGTGTACATTACGTGTTTAGACTATAGGTGCAGAGTTTTCTTTACAAAGGGACATCGCCAACTACTGGCCTGGCAGCAGAATACAATGTTTTTAGCCATTTTCGCGGGTCCATGCGAACAGGAATCATTTTGACAACATTGTCGTCTGTATGTGAAAAAAAACTTAGTCATGTAAACATTCCCTAATGTAAATTCATGGGATTACCAATTTCATCATTCATCAGGCGAAAATCATAAGCAGAAAATCATAATAATAGCACACCAACTCTAAACAATTAAGTTTAATTTTAGGATGTTAATGTGCAGCATCACCTCTTTTCTCACATAGTCTGAAACTTTTTTATTTCAAGGATCAAGGATCCGGTCTTTCTAAACCTGTGGTTCTCTTGTTCTGGGGGCGTGATCCACATTTTCCCATGGTTATTAACAACGCATTCTCATCCCAAGGCGTCATCTAACTGACACTTTTGACCATGCTTCAACATCCAACGCTTTAGGGCACCAATTAGGGCACCGCTTTTCTTTTAGCCTCAGTTAGATGACGCGGGTAGGTATAGGTCTGGGGTAGGGTTAGGGTTCGACCACTAGGATAGCGTCATCTAACTGACGCTAAAGGGTGCCTAAAGCGTCGGATGTTGACACATGGTCAAAAACTTCAGTTAGATGACGCCTTGGGATGAGAACGGGCTGTTATTAAGCCACGACCCAAATATTTAGGAATTTGAACTAAGCAAATTTATTTCTTAAAAATGGTGACACGCCCAAAAAAAATGGGCACACACACACAATATAAATTGTATGAATATCACTGATGAAAATACAGGTAAGGCTATAGCCTACAGTTCAGAGTCTGTTATTTCTTTTAGGAGACAATAACTCCATTTGTCGTGCTCTTTGATTTTTGAAACTTTGCAGACCTTTTACATTTACAACCATATATATAGTAGCTTTTGCCTTGTCTTAACTGGAACTCACATAACATTAAAATGAGGCTTGAGTCTGTTATATGAACTTTGGAAGTAAATTTACCCTTTTAGAATCTCTGTATATTTACATTTAACTATTATAGCCGTTTCTGTCTCATAAACAGGCATGAAGAAGAACTGTGAGCACATTTTATGGCCTATTAAGTTTACAGAATGGTGGAGTGCTGTGGACACACTATACCTTCAGCTTCCTGACAGCCACACGGACCATGTCTGTCCCTTTGGGCTGCTCCACATCTGTGATTCCCAAGAACTACATAAAACACACAGTAGACACAATGTCAAAAGACTTAAGTAATATATTAACGCTATATTTTGTTTGTAATGGTGACTGGGTTGATAAGCATAGAGTTTGAGTGTGTAGCATTCCATACTTGATGAAAACTATGATGAAGGTCACAGTCACAGAAGGGGGGTTCAGTGAGCTGTAATAACAGTCTATTCATGCATGCACGTACATGGTGTACACAGTGTGCATTTGCAGCATAGGGCCTGTTCCCACCCCCTTTTGTGTAGTACATACAGAAGAAGCAGAGAGAACCACAGGGACAAATAAGAAATATGTCTCAAACTGTACCTTTGCATTATACACAACATGACTTCTCACCAAGGCTTCAGGTGTGTGCATACTTGGTTTATCTGGATGTAAAAAGAGAATAAAGATGAAGAATTTAGGTGTAATGGCAGATGACTATTTCCAGTAAGTCAGTCTATATATACAGTACAGTATATCGTACCTCCAGGTTCTGTCCTGAACTTTTTAATGCACCACAGGCACAGAAAAAATGTACAGTAGTTAAACAGGAATTGCAATCACTGTATTATTGATTCTCCTGCACAGCTGACACTGCATATTTACCTCAGAGACCCCTTAAAACACTTAACATCGATAAGGGTCTCCTGTCTTTCAGCTCCCTAATTTCAGTGCTTTAAACATGAAACAATCAACAAACCAAAGTCTAAAACACAAAGAAAGCCTTTTCAAAAGCGTTTTTGTTTCCGAGAATCTTTGAGAAAGGTGTGTAATGTGATGATAATAACACTGTGATGCAGTACTTGAGATCAAAGCAATGCACAGGATGAATAAATTAAACTGATTATTCTTGCTTTTCTTTATACTGCTGTTGTTGCATTTGTTGTCAGTTTCAATTAATTTCATGTGGTGATTACTCAGACCTCATCTTTTAATTAAATGTCTTGTAGGCGTGTTGAATGTTGAGGTCCATGCGTATCTCGTTTAATTAGAGCAGGGGGTTTAATACTGTCCAGGGATCCCCAGTCGGCTGCAAGGGGGAACTACAGGGGTCGGGAGAAAAGGATAGAAAAAATGCTGTCAACAACAGAACAGGGCTTATTGTCACAGTGTCTGGTTGTGTTTGCCTGGGTTGTCAATAGAGGTCCTCGTTCTCATGGTGTCTTTCACATTTTGACTTCATTTCCCAGCATACTGTCAGTCACTCATCAGTTCATCAGTTCACTCAGCTGTTTCCCATCACATTGTTAGATCTGTGTGTATATATTCCCTGTCTGTGTCAGTGTTCTTTATGTAGTCCTTGTAATTGTCGCCACTTCTGAGGTCTGTGATCCTACTAGTTCCTGTTTTTGTTCTTATGATTTGATTGATGATTTGGTATTTTTGAACCCTGCCTGGGTGACTATGATTTTGGATTGCCCTTATTATTAAATATACTGCAACTGGATTTTCTGTTTTCTGTGTGTGGTTCCGTGACAGAAAGACTCCGTCAAGCCCAGATCCAGCGGTATGTTTTTTAATATCTCTTCTCCAGCCACTGAGCGGGAGAGAAGGGAGTTTTTTAAGGGGACCCGGTTGGTCAAGTTTTGTGGGACCAATGGAGGTCGCAGTGGAGGACGTAGTCGAATTTGAAAGTCGACATCCCATCGGTCCCGCCAGAGACTGTTCAGGTCCCATCTGTCCAGCCAGAGACTGTTCACGTCCCGTCTACCCAGTCAGAGATTGATCAGGAGATGCCCATTCGCGTAGCCGCGAGGGCACGGATCGACTATTTGGAGCATCTGATTCGGATCCTGGACATGCCTGTGCTCGCTGTTCCAGAGCCGGAGCCAGAGTTCGCTGTTCCTGAGCCAGTGTCTGCTGCTCCAGAGCTGGAGTCAGTGTCTGTTCCAGAGTCAGCGACAGATCAGGAGATACCCATTCTCGCAGACGGGGGAATACCGAGCAACTATCTGGAGCATCTGGCACGAATCCTGGAAGGACACTGACCCTGGCCGTCCTCACCCCTTGTTCCTGATTCATCCCTTCATGGACCTGGCCCACCATCCCTCCCCCTGATTGATCCTGCTTGTTCCTGTTTTTGTTCTTATGATTTGATTGATGGTTTTGGATTTTTGAACCCTGCCTGAATGACTATGATTTTGGATTGCCTTTGTTATTAAATATACTGCAACTGGATTTTCTGTTTTCCGTGTGTGGTTCCGTGACAGAAGGACTCTGTCAAGCCCAGATCCAGCGGTATGTTTTTTAATATCTCTTCTCCAGCCACTGAGCGGGAGAGAAAGGAGTTTTTTAAGGGGACCCGGTTGGTCAAGTTTTGTGGGAGCCATGGAGGTTGCAGTGGAGGAGGTAGTTGAATTTGAAAGTTGACATCCCGTCTGCCCAGCCAGAGACTGTTCAGGTCCCGTCTACCCAGCCAGAGACTGTTCACGTCCCATATGCCCAGCCAGTGACTGTTTACGTCCCATCTACCCAGTCAGAGATGGATCAGGAGATGCCCATTTGCGTAGCCGCGAGGGCACGGATGGACTATTTGGAGCATCTGATTCGAAACCTGGACATGCCTGTGCTCGCTGTTCCAGTGCCGGAGCCAGAGTTCGCTGTTCCTGAGCCAGTGTCTGCTGTTCCAGAGCTGTAGCCAGTGTCTGTTCCAGAGTCAGCGGCAGATCAGGAGATACCCATTCTCGCAGCCGGGGGAATACCGAGCAACTATCTGGAGTGTCTGGCACGAATCCTGGAAGGACACTGACCCTGGCCGTCCACACCCCTTGTTCCTGATTCCCTTCATGGACCTGGCCCACCATCCCTCCCCCTGATCCTCCACCATTTCACCTCCCTCCTGAACTCTTGTGTTGTGTTGTAGTTGTTGTCGTGGAGCATCTGGTAGCCGCTCCGTAGAGGGGGTGTTAAGTCACAGTGTCTGATTGTGTTTCCCTGGGATGTCACTAGAGGTCCTCATTCTCATGGTGTCTTTCACATTTTGACTTCATTTCCCAGTATTCTGTCGGTCACTCATCAGTTCATTGCACTCAGCTGTTTCCCATCACATTGTTAGATCTGTGTGTATATATTCCCTGTCTGTGTCAGTGTTCTTTACGGAGTCCTTGTAATTGTCGCCACTTCTGAGGTCTGTGATCCTGCTTGTTCCTGTTTTTGTTCTTATGATTTGATTGATGATTTTGGATTTTTGAACCCTGCCTGGATGACTATGATTTTGGATTGCCCTTATTATTAAATATACTGCAACTGGATTTTCTGTTTTCCGTGTGTGGTTCCGTGACACTTATATGGTCATACCTCCAGGTTCTAGTAAGAACTCCAGCTGCTGCATTTTGGACCAGCTGGAGTTTGTTTATTAAGTGTTTATAAACATTGATTCCATGTGACAATATAATATCCAAGTATGATTACGACAATGAGTGGGTACCGACGTGTTGTCTAACTCCAATAGAGAAAAATGAAAAATGAAGCCAAAACGTTTTCAATCGGCCCCCTGTTGGCAGGCTGCAATATAGGTCATCAAATACATCGACTTAATTTGAATTTTCATGGTGTGTAACAACTTATGGAAACTAGATTGAGCCAGAAAGTGAAAAAATGTGAGTTTAATGATAGTTTTGTCATCTTTCGCTGTTCCATGTCCTCGTGTTGGAAGGTATAGGCCGCTTATTCATTATGGACCTCCTTGAGGGGGTCCCCCTGGAATTCCAGGGAATGTCTATATTACTTATAAGGCAGAAAGGCATTTTTTTTTTTCTAGAGGGATGACTGACATATTGTGCTTTATTTTGTATTGCCCTTGTATGTGTTGATGAAGAGCGGCCCCTCGTTGTTCTTTCTTTTCTCCCTTGAGCTGGAAGTTAAATTGTGGGTTGATGAATTGGCTCTATGGGCAGTGCACGCTGCCGTGATCTAGACCTGACTCAGCAGGACACGGCTTTAGAAAAATGAAGACAAAAAGAAAAAACTGTGGGTGAGAAAGAGAGAGAGACAGAGGGACGCTAAAGGAGACCAAGAGAGACAGCGAGTAAGAGAGATGGCCCTTAGAGTATAAGAACTGCGATGCCAACAAAAAAAAACAATAATATAATGAAGCTGACAAGCCGTCTAATCCTGTGCCAAAGAGGAGACAGCTCTCTCACTGTTTATTTGACACCTTTATAACTCGGGCTCTTCAGCATTCACCGCCACACAGGTACAAACACGCACACACACAGACACACACACTAATCAGCTGAACTCTCTTACTGCACACCAATTAATGCTCGACAGAGAGAGGACGAATGCTCAGGCATTCCCTGCTGCAGTAATGTCAAAGCTTGTAGCTTTGGGTGGCACAAATGTCTTTACCAATGAAACTTGATTTTAACAGTTTCTGAAGAAAATGTCTGTGCTTGTCTGTGCAAAACTTACTAGCACAATGAAAGAGTTGTACTGACAGTTTTCCCATTATCAGGGTTGGGAACCATAAGGAATTAAACAATTTCAGTTCTGATTTCAATTGTACTTTCCATTAACAATTTTGGTAGTACTATTAAATGTGTGATTTTTTCTTTTTTTGAATTTCATATTTATACTTACTGCTCCCAGCAGGTTACTGCCAAATTAAGAGATCCAATTTAGAAATAAATGTAATGTATACAAAAATTAGGTAGCCTAAATACAATCAAATTATTGTCCCTAATTATATATATTAAAGCTGCAGTCCATAGTTTTTCCTCTTTGTCGCCATCTCTGTTCGAAATCTGCAATTGCAGTTATTCGCGGAATTATCAACTTTATGTGGGTTGTGAATCGGCATGGCACAGCGTGGATTAATCCAATGTTTTGAGGAGAATGTGCTAGAGAATGAGGAAAGAATGTGCAGCGTGGATTAATCCAATGTTTTGAGGAGAATATCCACACCTCGCCGGTGTGGATATTTGGAAGTATGACCAACATAAGAATTTTCACCAGAAAATGTCATAACCTCCACTTTTGTTCTGACCAACTAAGGGGGAAAAAAGCATTGCAAATTATACTTTGTTCTTAAATTGTTAATGTTAACAACATCAGCATTGCGGGACTTAATGCTCTTATGATATTTATCCTTGTTTTTGCATGTTGCAGTCTCATTTTTTTTCTGCAGCCACTTTGAAGTCCAAAGTCTTTTGCATTTTACACTGGTGATTGTCATTTGAAACTTTCTGGATCCACCATCAAATTGATAAGTTTAATTATATCAAATGCTGTGAGAAAAGGCTATAAATCTCCACCTCCAACATCCTCACACGCAACAAAGCCTAATAGCACCTTCTTTATGTGTACAGATGTGACATAATGACGCAAAGCCATGCTCGAATTTATATTTATAATATCACAGGAGCGAAAGAGTGTTATTTTTCTGAATATCAGTACAAATGTAGACAGAGATTTGAAATCCTGCCTCCTTGGCCGTGACAGGGCATACAGAAAGTCCACCGGGCTCGGTGTGCCAGCCGCTCACACTGACCTCAGTTGAGGATCCATCAAACTAGAGGTCAGTCTGCTTCATCATTATGTTCATTATTTTCATGGTGACTTTAACTTGATGTTTTTTTTCTTCAATCATCTGATTATTAGATCACCAACCAACTTCACCACATTTTGAGTCAAGAAAAACCCGGGACACCACAACCTTTTATGGCAAAACATAGCAACATAATTATTCACAGAAATCAGAGTACAGAGTCTCTACTTAGAAAGTTGCTGAGTCATGCAACCTCCAAAATTCATAACATTGATCTACTAGGTCATTTCAATATTTTAAATATTAAAGCAAGTATAAATGAAACCACACTGGTCCAATTAACAGGTTCATGTAGTTCATTGGTCTTCCATGGTCAAAATAATAAACTTGGTGCAAAGGAGACATGCAGGTCCATTTTTAGCTTTACCCTTTGCTTTTCCCTGTACCTCACTGAGTAATGAAAAGGTTACTGCACCGCAGGATATCTCTGTCCAGAGCTTAGGTCTAAAGGTCATTTTGTAATGCTCCCACCGATTAACTGTCAGTTTAAACACAAATAATCATAAAGGGTAAGCATTCAAAACAACTGGCGAAAAGCAAGAGCATGGATGAGTTCACTTAATCACATTAATTTAGATATTAAAATACAATCTATTCCCAAAGTTAATATCATGCCAGGCTTATTTATCTTGTGAACATGATTTTAGTTTCAACCTTTTGCAAAAGAATAGCGAAACTTCACCTAAATAAAGGTCATCCCTTGTGGCAAAAAGTCTAGGTTACGAC